CACAGCGCCTGCCTGGCAAGCACAAGGTCATGAGTTCGATTCCTGGTGCTGGAAACCCCCCCACACACAAAAAAAATAGGGCTTATATTAAAAAAAAAAAAAAAAAAAAAGAACCACCTGATGACTAAAGAGGGGAGGAAGGAGGAATGCCAGCCGGAAGGTTGTCTGTCAGAGCAGGGTGAAGTCCAGAGCTGTAATTTCAACCCTGCTGTATTTATCCACTTCGTATTACTGCCTCTTTTACTCAGGGTTAGTTTTTCTTTTTCCCTCCCAACTGAGCACTGGTGCAATCGATTCTAAGTTCTGTGCAATGGTCCAACGGTCCCTACCTTCAGGCATCTGTGCCCTTGCCAACTTCCCTCGTTTGTGGGCGGGCCTGTGACTAACCAACAGGACCTGACAAAGGTGACAAGAGGTCACTTCTGTGATCGGACTGTAAGAGGCTAACTTCTGTCCTGCTAGCACACTCATCCTTGCTGGCGCTCATGATGGAGGTTGCCATGTTGCAGAGGTTCGTGTACAAAGGAGCTGCGGCGACCTCTGGCAACTATCGGCCAGTGAAGGAAGGCCCTCAACCCAACAAGTCTTGGGGAACTGAACCTCTGCCAACAATGTAAGTGGTGCTGAAAGCAGATCCCTCCCAGGAAGGCCTTGAGAACCCTGCCTTGGCCAGTAATGACTGCAGTTTTGCAGGATGTCAGAGAATACTGAAGCGGAAGATCCAGCAAAATTATGCTTGAACACTTGGCCCACAAAACTATGAAATGTTAAGTATGTATAGCTTTAAACCACAAAATTTATGGCAGTACATCTGTTTGATCACAGAGCATCTGCTCAAAATGTGTCATTACCATATAGGTCAGAACCTGCTGAAAACCTGAGAGACTTTCTGTAGTCAGAACCAACTACTAATATCCCTGCCCTCCAGCTCCGCAGCATCCCAGCAAAAGGCCTTCGCAGCTGGCTCCACAAGATGTGTCAGTGGGAACAGAGTGACCCGTACAAGTGATCTTGCTAGACTCAAGCCCCTCTCCCAGGTCAGGCCGTGGGCGAACCATTTACAGCTTACAAGGACTGCAGCTCAACAGGAAAGGCCACGAACAACAGGATATGGCTAGGGTATTATGAGGTACATCAGTGTGAGAAACACCATCCCCAGAAAGGAACTGGGGTGGTTCTGGGTAAGTGCACACTTCTTACTCCTTTTATAGAGTACAACAGGCAATATGGCACTGAAGGAAACACAGCCTTGATCGGTGCTGTGAATGTAGTTAATTCTGCTGAACAAACAGGAAATAGATTCCTGCATGAACCCGGTCAGAATCAGATCTAGAATAAATCAGCCCAATACCACTGTTCAGTTCTTGAATTACTCTGGTCAAAATGACTTTCAATCTATGATAACTCAGAATCAACAGGGGCTCTCCTTGTTTTTTACGCCCACTTGTCTACGTTCCTTCCCACAATATTGTAAGTTGCCGTTAATGGATCTGATCTGTTTGGGCAGCGGAACTCAGGATCTCTCTGAGGCCACAAAGTAAACTCACGCGACAGTTTGTGGCAGCCGTCTATACCTCTGCCAATTCTAAAACTGTGTGAGTTTAGAGGTGACCTCCCCAACCCGGCTTTGCTGCTGCCTCAGATCTTCCTCTACGCAGAATGGGCAGAAAGGCAAGCCAGACCTCAGCGGGGCAGACACTCCGGAAGCACCAACACGCCTCTCCAGCCATGGATGTTCTTTTCCTTTTTAATCATGCTGCAGTAGCCAACATTCCAGTTACTAGATAAATCCGCAGCTGGAGGTGTATCAATTACAGGACAGCTCAACCTAACCTGACACAAAACTGAAAGCAGGTCCCTCTGGAAAACGATCCACCAAGCTTTCTGTGGGAAGAAGAGTCTTTAACACTTCGGCTGAAGAGAACAGCTGGAGATGAAGAAGGAAAGCTGACGGGCCAGTGCTCTGAAACTCACTAGCTGGGTAGCAGTGGCCCTGAGAGGATTCCAAGAGAGAGTGCTGTGATTCCTCTCATCCTAACTAAAGGCAGTAACAACAGGATTTACATTCATACAGGGCATCATTCCAAGATCCACCTACATGCCCTCAGTTCTCATGACCACTTCCATCAAGCAGAGAATCAGGGCCACGAGGAGGTGACATTCGGGCCCTTGTGAGAGCTGCTGGTCAGGGTCCGCACTCACGACTCAGTCCCTGGAAGATGGGTTCCGTGCATGGGGGCACAGCCACGGGCTGGTTCAGCAGCCTGTCCATTATGCTGATTTTAGCATCTTGCTTCTCAATGTCCTCGTATGGAGTCCAAGATAAATCATGCTGTAGCTTGTAGGCCCCAAGGAAGTCATGCGGACGACTTGTTCCCCATTCCTAGAGAAGGCAGAGGAGTTGGTTCCGATCAGGATAGAAGTAAACAGAGTGCTTTTCCTACTTATGCCATATATTGCTTCATAGCTTCTTGCTTCAGACTACTCAGAAGCATCCTTGGGAGGCAGTCACTATACATCAGATCCCTCTCTTAACAGAGAAAATGAACAAACTAATTTAACATGCTCACACGGGGCTGTAATCCATATGTCTTGTTGCTAGACGGCTCTGAACCACTGGTGGTCCAAGCGTAACTGTCCCATTGCGTGGCATGGGGCAGGCTCACATGTACCACTGCTGGTTCAACTATGCCAGCAGGAATGTGTTAAGCATCTTTTAGAGTTAAGTCTGGCTTATACCATCCTCAATTTTCTAGGAAACCATTTAATAATCCACATGCTTAGGGGCTGGGGATTTAGGTCAGCGACACAGTGCCTGTCTGGCAAGTGCAAGCTCGTGAGTTCAATTCCCAGTACCAAAAAAAAAACAAACCAAAAATAAAAAAATCCACATGCTTATTTTCATACACATATGCCAAGCATTCTCAAAGGTCAGAGTAGATTTATTAAGCAAAGAATAAATGTTCTCACCTTTGGAGAAATAATGGAGAAGTATCGCTGGCCACTCTCACGTTGATAAAGATAGTAAATACTGCCAGGTTTTTTCACCATGTTACAAGCTATGTGATGCAAGTCAGCATCTCTGCGGGCATCTTCCAGAACCTGCAAACCACAAAGGTGTAACGTGTAAGGGGATGGAAGTAACAGGCCCACCTGGGGATCACCCCAATGAAAACTTGGAAATTGTTCAATGTTTAGGATCTTGCTCCCCCATAGCAATAAATCATTACTGGGGTCCAGATGATTCTGAAGAAATAAAAATTAGATGATTGCTACTATGCTGAAAATGTTTTCAGAGAAAAGTCTATTTCAAAATGTTGAATATCTCTGGCTTTGGGTGACTCAAGTTTCTTCTTTTTCTGTGTTAAAGTACATTTCTTTTAAGAATGAAAACATTTTTTTTCCCTTAAAAGGCTTCTTATCTCATTGAACTTCCTCTTGGGGGAAAAAAACAAAAACAAAAAAAACCACCTCATACTTCCAGCACTCGAGGCTGAGACAATTAGAAACTTAGCAAGATCCTGTCTCAAAATTTTAAAAAATTTAAAAAGGGCTAAGGACATGAGTTTGATTTCAGTACTGGGGTAAAAAAACTAAAAACTTATACTTTCCTTCTGCCCCAGTTTAGACATTGCTTGTACCCCAGAGGGTGCTGTCCTGGGTGTGTGGGGTTTCATTACCCATTTGGTGATGTGAGCTAAAGGAAGATGTGCAGCCTAGCAGGAGGCCCTTTGGTCAGTGCGGCACTGTCCTTAGGAGGAAATACTATTCTCCTAGTGGGAGCTCATGAGACAGAGAGAGTCTCAGCACGAGCAAGGGCATGCTGTTACAAAACCTGACCCTTGATTCTCTGGCTTTCTGCATGGAGGTGTGATTTCTCCTGCCACACATGTGCCTGCTGCAACTAGAAGCAGACCAGCAGGCTCTCCTCAGAGCTGATCATGCCAGCATCATGCCACTGAACCTCCTAAAACTGTGAGCTAAACAAACCTTTTCTTTATAAAGCTAGCCTGCTTCAGGTATTTCATCACAGTAACAAAAGAGACTAATACAACCTCGGGTTTGCTTCTTCCACCTTACTCAAAACTTTCTACCTTCTAGGAGATACTAAAGACAAATAAGCTACCATGTTTATAAGCAAGTTTGGCCCACTCTGTCAACTAAATAAAGTGAAAGCCTACCTAGAAGTCTTTCCTTACCTTTCTGGCTTGTTCTTGCAAATGCTGGACTTGTTCAACTATGACTGACAACTTGCTGGTGGCATTTGCTCGGACAAATTCATCAGCCTACAAGTGAAAGGAAACCAAACTGGAGTGAAAAAGGATGACTGCTGCGACGTTATTTAGATCCAGTGTGGAGAATAATGTCAACACGTTCCCTTACACCTGAAGTATTCTTCCCAGTCTCACTACCGCCATGTAAATTCCTACTCACGCCAAGGCCCCGGGCCAACTGCAGTGCTTATGCAAAGCCCACACTGACTTGAGCTCACACCACAGAATTAAGTGCTCCTTCTTGTCCACTTCCATTACTTTCCACCCTTTTCCCTCTGAACTCTAGTCAGACGGAACTTGTTTGGTTGTCCTGCCCTGCTCTCTTGCTACCAAATATACTGAGTATGTCCACCTCTCCATCTAATACATCCCCTCGTTCTCTGCATGACGAACCCCTGGCATTTCCCAGCTCTCCCATTTATCTTCTCGTGTTTCAACACTTCCAAAATCAAAGATGGGCCTTAGAATGAGAAATCAGAAGGTACTCGTGATTTGACTCTTATTACTCACTAATGTAGGCCTCTAACAAACACATTCTCTCCCTCCCCGTGTATATGTACATATTTGAAATATTATATATTATGTGTAAAAATATATGTATATATAAAATGTTTATATAATAAATATATATAAACCTGGCCATTACTTTAGCTGAATTATTTACTTCCTACCTACTTAAATTTTAACTTAGAGTTGCATCCCTAATTGATATTCCTAAATGAAATTTTTTTTTTCATTTTTGAGACAGGGTTTCATTATACAGTTAAGGCTGGCCTTGAACTCACTTTGTAGCCCAGGCGGGCCTCGAACTCATAGTGATCCTGCTGCCTCAGTCTCCCAAGTGCTGGGATTACAGGCATGTGCCACCACACCTGGCTCATTTAATGTTTTTTAAAAGACTATACTACGGCCAGATATAGTGGAGCACACCTGTAATCCCAGCATGCAAGAGACTGAGGCAGAAGGATCGAATTGAGTTTAAGGCCAGGCTGGGCTACATAGTGAGTTCAAGGCCAGCCTGGACTACACAGTAAGACCCTGTCTTAAAAACAAACAAACAAAAAACTACATTATGAAGCTAGATCTCATGTGTTGTGTGCCTATAGTCTATTATTCTGGAGACTGAGGCAGAGGGATTGCTCGAGCTTAGCAGATGGAAGAAGACCTGGACAACAAAGCAATACTCCTCCAGAAGGCCTGCGCTCTGTGTGGTAGCATATACTGAAACTGGAACAATACAGAAAAGATTAGCATGCCCCCGCCACCATTCAAGAATGACACGCAATTTGTGAAATGTCCCGTATTTTCTTCCTGAGTTACTGGAAAGTATGAAATTGTTAAAACAAGTTGTAATTTACATGACTAACATTTGGATAGTTCTGTAGGTGCTGATGTAATAAAAACAAAACAAAACAGAACTACATTATGAAGCAGGGTACCATGTGGTGTGTTAGCTGTTTGTTCTCTCTTTACAATGCAGCAACCAGGACTGATCCTATTGTACTGAGTAGGTTGCGCCAAAGCCAAAATCACATCACAGGGAGATTTACACTAACTGAAGAGACCTCCACAGTAGCGACAGAGTTTTCCTTCCCTAACGGATGCACCCTCAGCACAGTAACAATAGAAACATGAGAACACAAGGTAGTAAGACACCTCCAGAAACCTTTAATTCCTTAAAAGCTGATCTCAGGGGCACTGAAGTATAGAGGAAGTCACAAACAACAAACTAAAAAATCAAATGGTTAAAATGTCTGAAGAGATCTAAGAAACAAGAAAATTCTCAAGATGTTTTCAGTGATTTTAAAGAGGTCTTAACTAGATAAAGGAATTAATATTCAGCAAGTTTAAAGAAGACACAAATAATAAGCTAACTGAATTAAACAAGATGTGAATGACCATTTTGGTGAAGAACTAAGGAAATCAAGCAGAAATTCAGGAGATGAATTCAATTGAGATTTCCTGTTCACTGTGGCTGTTTGTGTCTTGGGATCCGCTATGAGAAGACCTCTGTGCTCTTGGGCAGGTTCTTTTTTTTTTTTCTCTGTTGTTTTGGAACTCTTCTGGACTTGAGCCAGCAGTGAAGTTCAGTGTGTTCTGAGGATAGGCTGAGATCCAGGATGAAAAAAAGGCCCTTTGATAATAATGACAGAGAAGTAAGAACTGGGGACAGACACCCGAGAAATAACGGTCCCATAACAAGGATGGTTCAAATATTAGTTTTCTTATCCTATCTTTTATTGTGGAATCACTTTTTTAAAATATTTAAAATTAACAAAAAAACTCATTAAGGGGGCTGGGGATTTAGCTCAGTGGCACAGCACCTGCCTGGCAAGCGCAAGGTCGTGAGTTCAATTCCCGGTACCGGAAAAAAAACAAAAGTTATAATATACAGATGGTCAGTCATTTGCCATGAAATGCAACTAAAGGCAAGGAACTTGCTTAAAATTGTTCAAATAACTCTCAAAAGTAGGAGATACCTGTGTAACTAATTCAAGTAATAGGAAGGATTATCACCCAGACATCTGAAATCTGTCAAAAAATTATCAACTTACTTTCAAGAAAAGCTGATTAACTTCCAACAGTACACAATTATGCCAACAAAAGAAACTAAGAGGTTAAACTGGAACTAAAGTATATTAAGGACTCAACTCAATGCGAGAGCACTTGTGAAGCATGCACAAGAAAGTCCTGAGGTCAATCTCTGACACATTAAAAAAAGAAGAAATTTAAGAGAACTTGCTGGTTAGCTGAGAAATCTTAAGGTAAACATCAAGTATAAACCAAAGTTGGAGGTAAAGCAAAATGATACAAGTAAATGGAGTCAATTCTCTGTTTGTCCCACAAATATGTAAGGCAATTACCACGTGTCAGATGCTACGTTAGGGTCTCAATATATCAGCAAACATGAGAAGTTCCTATTTTTGTCAAGACCATAGTCTAAGGCAGCTGTACACTAGAAATAGGAAGTAAGTTACTAGGCATGCTGGCACCTGCCTGTAATTCCAGCACTTTCAGAGGCTGAGGCAGGAGAACCACAAGTTCAAATCCCACACTGGCAACTTAGTAAGATTCTGTCTCAAAATTTAAAAAGAAAGGTTTTAAGGGCTAGGGATCTAGCTCAGTGTGAAGGCCCTGAACTCAATCCCCAGTACCATAAGAAAACAAAACAAAACAAAATAACCGCAACAGCAAGTCATATATGAAGTTTTTACATTTTCTAGTAACTACATTAACGGTAAAAATAGCCAGGCACGGTGGCTCACTCTTGTAATACCAGCAATTGGGAAACTTAGAAAGCTGAGGCAGGAGGATTGCTGTGAGTTCAAGGACAACTTGAACTACATAGTGAGATCCTGTCTCCAAAAAAAAAAAAGTAAAAATAAATAAATAAAACAATTGTAATAATATATTTTATTTAAGCCAATATATCAAAAACACTTTCATTTTTAATGCAATCAATATTTTAAAAATTAGGATATTTTACAATTCATAGTAAGTCTTCAAAATACAGCTTATGGGGCTGGGGATTTAGCTCAGCGGCAAAGCGCCTGCCTGGCAAGCGCAAGGTCGTGAGTTCGGTTCCTGGTACCGGAGAAAAACAAAACAAAACAAAACAAACAAACAAACAAAATACAGCTTATACAGTAGCTCAGACTTAATGTAGATGCCAAATTTCATTGGAAATAGTTGATCTGTATTCAGACTTCATGAAATTTATAGTTTAAAAGTTGATCTAGGGCTGGGGATGTAGCTCAGTGGCGCAGCACCTGCCTGGCAAGTGCAAGGGCCTGAGTTGCATTCCTAGTACCAAAAAAAGGAAAGCCTAGAAAGTTGATTCATAGGCCAGGCATGGTGGTGCGTCCCTGTAATACCAGCACTCAGAAGGCTGAGGCAGGAGGATTGCTGCGAGTTTGACTCCAGTCTGGGCTACAAAGTAAGCTGAAGGCAAGCCTGAACTGCATAGTGAGACCCTGTCTCAGAAAGACAAAAAAAAAAAAAAGTAAATACAAAACTTATGCCTTAATACCAAGCCTCCCAAGCTTTCTAAACATACATTAAATCAAATCCCAGAGATCAGGTCTGCTAGAAAGTATTTCAGTAGACAAATAATATATATGCGGTTCAATTTTTCTTCAGCTTCTCCAAAACTGATTATATTGGAAAAATTGAGGCAGCTAAATAATGCATATTTCACTAGATTTTAGGAAGAAAGACAAACACCATGCTTCTTTTTTGGTTCTCACCATTATAATAAGTATGATGTCCACTCAGTAACATATGAAAATGTTGTTTGCCCAAACTTTGTCCCTGGTCACCTTGCTACCAAGAACAGTGACCTTATTTAACAGACACATACTACTCTCCTAATTCATAAAAGTTGTACTTTGCTCCCCACTGTCTAAAAAAGACAAAAGTCTTAGTTAAAAGAATTTACCTAAGTATTTGAATTTTTGTTAAATAAAATAAAAACAGTACAGATGTTTGTGAGGAAATTTGAGCAAACTATTAATTTTGTGCAAAACAAAGACTTTTGAATATAACCAAGGACAGGATAAGGGACTATTTTTTAAAGCAGCAGATTCTATAACTGGATGTCCTGGAAGGCCAATTCCCTTCCCCAGCTTAAGTCTCACCCAGTGGCACTAGGGGTCTCAGGACTCCTGCAGCTTGGGGGCCCACAAGCAAAGGAGACAGTAACCCTGTCGTCTCTAATCCCTTTTTGGTTTCCAGGAAATGTTGGGGATTTCAAGAGACTAGAGAGAAGGCCAGTCATGGTGGTGCATGCCTGTAATTCCAGCACTTGGGAGGCTGAGGGAGGAGAATCGTTGCGAGTTCGAGACCAGCCTGGGCTACAAAGTGAGCTCAAGGCCAGCCTGAATTGCACAGCAAGACCCCGTCTCAAAAAAACAGAGACCAGAGAGACCACAGAAGAATCAAGACAATCAGTTTATTCAGATGTACACCCGCTTCAGCCGACTTCTGTCCAAAGGGGCTGAGTGCTAAAGGAAGGAAGGGCTCCAAGTTGCCAAGGGAGTTGGTCTTCCCTGGAACTTGTGGGCAGGCAGGAGAACCAAGGCAGACTGTCAAATTGTGACAGTTCTGTAGCATATCTTGGTGCCCTCTCCTCCAGCATAACAGAATGTTATGGGAACAGGAGGTTATAAAGTTTTACTTGCAGGAACAAAACTTACTGCTTTTATCTATATTAGAACCAAGAACAACAGTTATATGGAGTGGACAGTTTGAAAAATGTGACTTTTTCTTTTTAAATCCTGCTTCAATGCATGTCTGTAATCCCAGCACTCAGGAGGCTGGAGCAGGAAGCTCTCCATGAGTTTGAGGCCAGCCTGAGCTACATAAGCAAGTTCACCAGCCTGCATTCCATAGTAAGACCCTGCCTCAAAAAGAAAAAAAGTAAGAAAGGACTTAGTTTTTCAATGAATGTGAGGAGCTCTCCTACTTCAAACTGTTCATTTTGGCCGGGCGTGGTGGCACACACCTGTAATCCCAGCACTCAGGAGGCTGAGGCAGGAGGATCGCTCGAGTTTGAGACCAGCCTGGGCTACAAAGTGAGGTCAAGGCCAGCCTGAATTATATAGCGAGACCCTGTCTCAAAAAAAAAAAACTGTTCATTTTACAGATAAAGCTGAGGCCCAGAGATAATTTGCCTAAAGGTCATGTCAAATGTGGCATAAAGACTCATGTATCAAATGTCCAGTGCATTTTCTGTTGTTTTTCATTTCCTTTACTTTACCTATTTTGGCAATCAATGTCGAACCTCTCATTTTAGGAATACTGTGCCCAATCATTGAAGACTGTCTTGGTTACTTTTCTCTCGTTGCTGAGATAAAATACCCAAAGCCCAAAATTAAGGAAGGAAAGGTTTATTTAGCTTACAGTTTGTGGAGGTTTCAGTCTATGATCAGTTGGCTCCAAGGCAGAAGGGCATGACACAAGGGCAATACTTCACGGCCGCACAACACGGCAAAAGCAGCAAGAACAGAAGGGGAGGAAAACAAGCCTCTTTGCCTCCCTTATATTATAAGCATTATCTCTATGCCCCCATCTTCCTCAGGCTCATGATGAATACAAAGTAAGACCCTGGACCCTGGCCAGTCACTTCATTAACCTTCTAAGCTTCTCAAGGTGACATAATGAACATCCTAGAGCAGGAAGGGCATGTCCTTTTCACCCCAGGATGTAGAACTGCTGAGTCACTTAGCCAAGCCTCTAGACTCAAGTTAACACAATGTATCAACCATAACAAACACACAGGACAAAACTTCAGGCCTCACCCGCCTACAAAAGGTTTAAAGTTAGTTCTACAAGCTCTCCGGCAATAGATAAAGATCTTCTGAACAGCAGCTTGAAATGAGTGGAGTTAGCATCCCGGGAAAATTTTAGGGTGATTTTCCGTGTAATAGCAAACACTTCCATACTGCCTACCTCACAGGGCTGTCCTAAGGTGCAAATGAAACAATGAATACTGAAAGGGTTATGCAGTTTCCCGCGAAGGAAGACAGCTAATCACTTCCCCAGCAGCGCCCGCTCACCTTCTGGACCTGCTCTGCGAGCGCCACGAGGTCCAGCGGGTCCCCGACCCGGTGGGTGTGGTAGGGGCTCACGAGGGCCAGGCCGCCGGGGCTCGGCGTGCGCTCCACCAGGGCTCCTGCGACACACAGCGGGAACACGGGCCGTGAGCTCCCGCCCTCGACCTGCCGCGGAGCCCCAGAGACTAGCTTCCCGGCAGCTTCTTGCCCCCGGCCAACCTCCGCCCCGCGTACCTCCCTGACCAGCCGCCGCTGGAACTTCCCGACTCTCCACGTCTCCCTCTGCCTGCTCTGGGGTCTCAGCGCCCTCCATGACAACGACGCGCCCCGGCCCTGCCAGCCAGAAGAACCTGCGCACAAAGGCTTGTGGGCGGAGCTTCCGTGTTCCCAAGCCAATGGGCGTCAGAGCCACAGAACCAGCCTGAGCTCTGAGACTTGGTTCCAGCTGACGCCCAGAGTCCGACTGTGGAGCAGGGCCCGGATTGGTTGAAAGAAAAGAGGCGGTGCAACCCTCCGGGGCATGCGCCGCCCGGTGTGGAGCCGCGTCCCTTCTCTGGAGTAGGGCTTCGACGGCGTGGAGCCCCGCCCTGGCCGGCGGTGTGGCGCGGTCCCGTTAGGTCTGCGGAGGCGATGGCGGCACGGGCGTGGAGGCTGCTGACCACCCTGCTGGCGGCCGCTGCCGCCGCCTCCCAGACTGATGTGGAGTCGGAGGCCGGCTGGGACGTGGCTGCGCCCGACCTGCTCTTCGCCGATGGGACAGCGGCCTACGCGCGCGGGGACTGGGCCGAGGTGGTTCTGAGCATGGAGCGGGCGCTCCGCTCGCGGGCCGCCCTGCGCGCCCTCCGCCTGCGCTGCCGCACCCAGTGCGCCGCCGACCTGCCCTGGGAGCTGGACGCCGGCTCATCGCCGAGCCTGGCCGCGGACCCGGGCGCCGCCGCGCTGCGCGACCTGCGCTTCTTCGGGGGCCTGCTGCGCCGAGCCGCCTGCCTGCGCCGCTGCCTCGGGCCGCCGGCCGCCCACGCGCTCAGCGAGGAGCTGGAGCTGGAGTTCCGCAAGCGGAGCCCCTACAACTACCTGCAGGTCGCCTACTTCAAGGTGCGGAGCTGCGCGAAGCCCGGCGGCGGGGTTCTTCGGAGGCAGGAGTGGTTGCGGGCGACCGGGGGGGAATCAGGGGCGGCCCGCAGGGGCAGATGCCAGCTCCGAGCGTTCGGCCTAACGTTAGGGTCCGGGCCAAGAGAAACTTGATCTTTGTCTCCGAAGACCTCCTAGAGAGGACTAAAGCGGCAGGTTGGGTGTCCTATCCTGATTTCATGGTAAGTGTCCAAGTGAGAAACTAGGGGCTCTTTGCAGTATATCTTCCTTCCGGTTCATTCTCTAGTGATGCTTTTCCTGCTGCAGAGTCCAGCAGCGCGGTTTAGGACATGGGATTGCCACGTCGCCGGCAGGGGCTGCCCGCTCCTCCCTGTGGGGACCCTCTGGCTAGTCAGATTCCAAAGAAAATGAGTGTTCTTAGGAGTGCCGCCGTGTAAGTCCAAGTGTACGAATGACTTGGACGGCGGCAGGCTTGCGTGATACAGCAGCCATGTGTTTCCACGGCTCTGTTTTAAGCAGTTTGCATTTATTAACTCATTTACCCAAAGCTTCACGGTATTGAGGAGAGGTTAAAAAAATAAACAAAAGGAGCCATGCTGGGTATCTATTATGTGCATAGTTTAACAGAGCTTCAGTTCAACCAAAAGAGAGACTTTGAATCTCTTGGGGATCCCAGATTTCTACCTCTGCAAGAGCATTCTGCTTGTGCAGTTCCCCTCCATTTCTCCTGCTAACTTGCAAGAGTACTGGCCTTTTGAGGCCGAAATAATTGGGCTATGACTTTGGTCACTTAACGCCACTTAAAATTCTTTGACAAACGTTTATTCAATACCTACTACATTCCGGTTCTTAGACGGGCTATTAAATGCTTGAGCTTCTTGTCTTACTTTGCTGCTAAGAATTAATATAGTGAGGGTAGTAAAGGGACATGTAGATAAAACTGGGAACACAAAGGAAGGAGAATCTAGCTTTATCTCTGAGATACTGGGCTTGAGAGTAGAGAGAACCTGTGCCTCTGTCCACCAGAGAGAAGCAAACCAAGTGCCTCGTGTCTGCGGTGTAACAGTTTGGGGAAAGGAGGGAAGAAAGAGCTTAGAAAGGAAAGTATTGAAAGTTAAAGGAGAGTAAATTCATAAAAGGGCAGGTGAGAGAAATTTGTAACTTTACAGTTAGATGCTGAGGTGCAGAGAGGCATTTACCCCGTATCCCCTAGCCAAGCTTGACTCCTTTAGTGTGCATTTACTAGTACTGATGATAAAATAAAAATTCTTAGCACATTAAGGATACCAGCTAACAGATATTGAACACTTCCTTTGTTGAGTCAGGCACTGTGTTCAGAGCTGCAGGTCTACTGTTGAACCCCTCAACAATCTCATGATAGGGAGTGAATGCTACATCCAGATAGCAGACCAGGGAACTGAGCTGGAGGGCAGTCTTTAACAACTTAATCTAAATCACAGCAAGTTAGTCATTAAATCTAGATTTGTTGCTGGTTAAACACCAAAGCACATTAGATCTTTGGTGATTTATTTTGGGGCCTATAAATGAAGGGTATTATTTTGATATACTGGAGTCTGTTCCAGTGGGTGGGCATTATTGTAGCCTGTACCACGTTCTTGGCCCCCCCCCCTTTTTTTCTTAATAGACTTTTGTTTTAACTTCATGAGCCCTGGGCTTTGAATCAGAAAATACCATATCTAGCTTTTGTAAAGGACCTTGGGCTTTTTCAGCCACCCACCTTTGCCCGAAGTGTGTCAGAAACTTTTGATTTTATTTTAGACAGAAAAAAATTTTCTAGGAAAATTCTTAGCACAGTTTATGTGCTCTTCCCTACTCTTGAATCCTTGAAACTTTAAGCTTTCTTCAGCTTAATAACTGCATTTGAATGTTAAAAGTCTTACCTGGGTAGCCAGCCAGTCTTCATAGCGCCCCCTACAGTATGTCCTTTGTTTTAAATAGAACTTTGCACCCCTGAAGCATTACTTTCTGCAATTCGGGGAGACCCTAAGGCTGATTGAAGAAATAGCTGCACATATCTCCAGGTTACTGTGCTCTTAAAGGCCTGACTTGTGGTTCCTGCAGCGGGTGTGTTTGCTGGGGCTGGCACTGCCTAGGCAAACTGCCTGCGGGCTCAGAAAGGGTTAGGGAGGCTGAGATTTCCTGTTTACCGTGGACTGCGTGTGTGGGCACAAGCCTTCCAAGTTTGGATGTGAGAGTGACATTCTGTGCCTCACCTTTAGATAAACAAGCTGGAGAAAGCTGTAGCCGCAGCACACACCTTCTTTGTGGGCAATCCTGAGCACATGGAGATGCGGCAGAACCTGGACTACTACCAAAGCATGTCTGGAGTGAAGGAGGCCGACTTCAAGGACCTTGAGGCCAAACCCCATATGGTGAAAAAGACTTTGTCCTCTTCTGTCTCTGTTTAAAGTGACATTTACTAAGATTGTTTTCTGATGACACAAGTAGTAAATGTTCATAACACACCATTAAAAAACACAGAGAAGGATAAAGCAAAGTAATCATTGGTGATACTGCCATCTGAAGAAAACCAGTAATGGGTATTTTGCCCAGTTTTTTAAGTCTTCCATATCGAATTTCTTAAGCTTAAGTTGGTGTTATAGTGTACATTTTTTTTTATCATCCTTTGACCTAACATTCTTGTGTTCTCTTCTATTTAGTAGTTTACAAATAGGAATATTAGAGAGACTGCAGGGCTGTGTAGCTCAGTGATAGAGCACATGCTTAGCATGCACGAGGCCCTGAATCTAGTCCAATACCAAGGGAAATAAAGAGAATATTAGAAACACTACCAGAATCAAAATGACACCCTCCTCACAGACACCATCTCCATGGAGTTGGGAGGCTACATCTCCAGTCGCAGAGTGACTTTTTTTTAAGACAGAGTCTTGCTATGCAGTTCAGGCTAGCCCTGAACTCACTGTGGAGCCCGAGCTGACCTTGAACTCAGGAGTCCTCCTGCCTCAGCTTCCCGAGTGCTGGGATCACAGCATGCGCCACTACACATGGCCCCAGAATGACTTTTATAAGTATGTTATTGGGCTGGGGATGAAGCTCTGTATAGAATGCTTGCCTAGCGTGTGTGAGGCCTTAGGTTGAATCCCCAGTACCTACAGAAAAATTCCTATGAGCTCCTATAAATCTTTCATCCAGATGGAGAGTTAAATGCCTATAATTTCAAGAGGAATATGTAAAGCCCATTTACAGAAGACCTTCATGAGCCAGATATGGTGGCACATACCTATAATCTCGTCACTCAAAGGCTGAGGCACGCGGATCACAGATTTGAGGTGAGCTTGGCCTACACAGCAAGTTTAAGGCTGGCCTGACTGACAGCAAGACCTTGTTTCAAAAAACAAAACCACCCGGCTTTACTGTGTAGCTGTCACCCAAGTCAGCCCTTTGCGTCCGTAACTGAGGAGTAAAAGTTAGGACCCAGGTGGTGACGGAGGCGAGCAGGACACAGGAGCTCCCTGTAGCGTGAGTCTGAGTGCTCCTTCCTCCCGGTAGCATGAGTTCCGGCTCGGAGTGCGACTCTACTCTGAGGAGCAACCACAGGAAGCTGTGCCGCACCTGGAGTTGGCACTACAAGAGTACTTCGTGGCTGACGAAGAGTGCCGTGCCCTCTGCGAGGGACCCTATGACTATGATGGCTACAACTACCTGGACTACAGTGCCGACCTCTTCCAGGCCATCACAGGTGCGTGCCGAGCCTCCCAGGGCTGGAAGTTCATTGTTTGGATGATACAGAGCAGGTGCAGCCTCATTCCTTCCTGAGTTCCTAAGTCTGGGAATCCAGCTAAAAGTTTTTCCCACCTGAATTTGTCTGTCATAACCAGAATTTGAATCCTGAGTGTAACTTTGTAGCCATTTCTCATCTTAGATTCCTTTCAGATCATTATGTCCAGGTCCTCAGCTGTAAGCAAAACTGTGTCACCGAGCTGGCTTCCCACCCAAGTCGAGAAAAGCCCTTTGAAGACTTCCTCCCATCACATTACAATTATCTGCAGTTTGCCTACTATAACAGTAAGCTTGGTTTCTTTCCTTTCTGCTGCCATAATTTAGAAGCTAAGTCAGAGCCAGTCACGTTTGTACACCCCTGTGATCTCAGCACTGTGGGAGGCTGAGGCAGGAGGATTGCAAGTTTGAGCACAGCCTGAGCAATTAAGCAGCTTAGTGAAACCCTATCTCAAAGTAAAAAGCAAAAAGGGGCTCGGGATGAAGCCAGAGGCTCTGGGTTCAATCCTCAGTACTACAAAAAAATAAAAAATAAAAAACACTAAGCCAGCCAGGTAGGGTTTACAGCCACTGTACCTCCTTAACATGCCTGGCTTTTTTCTGGGCTTTAGAACTCTAGGACCTCTGTCTTTGATCCTATCACATTGGTAATCTAAATTTGCATTTGAATTAAAGTAATAGCAAAAGTAAGGGTGTGTTACTGTTTAAACCAGTTTACAGGATGTTTTCAGCCATCCTGCCTAGAATACTCTTGGGGGCTTGTCAATAGCCAGACAATCAGCCAGGCGTGGTGGCGCACACCTGTAATCTAGCACTCAGGAGGCTGAGGCAGGAGGATCCTTGCAAGTTTGAGACCAGCCTGGGCTACAAAGTGAGCTCAAGGCCAGCCTGAAGTGTATAGCAAAACTCTGTCTCAAAAAGACCAAAAAAAAAAAGAAATATCCAGACAATCAACAAATCATCAGGTCTTACCAAGTTCCTACTGTGTCCTGAGTGTTACAGTCTATTTAGGAATCCACCGTGTCTAGTTTGAGTCAAGGAGACCAACACATGAACGAGAACTGTTCTGCCAGAGAGGTGTGATGTGCCTTTGTAATCTTCCTCCCCCTTCTCAAAATCTGTGGGGAAGGAGGTAAGACAAGAACACTTCTGAAATTGGTCTAATGATTGGCTATGTCAAGGTAGGATATTGGCAAGTATTTTAATTTTTTGTGAATTTTTAAAGAGATAGGCGTGCAGAGAAGTCTTAATTCTTCCCTGTTTTGGTGGTAGGCAGCACTGAGAATATGAGACACCCAAAAATCAATTACATAGTCTCTGCATGCTCTGTAACTTCTGCCTTCAAGGCAGGCCATTGTACCAGGTAGCCGGCAGGCGCCACTTTGACGTGCTGTGCCTCAAGCTTCACAGAGACTGAACACTGAGTGGTTTTTGATGCCCAGGATTAGACCCTTTCCTCTCAGCCATTTTTCCTTGCTTTGCAGTTGGGAATTATACACAAGCTATTGAATGTGCCAAGACCTACCTCCTCTTCTTTCCCAATGATGAGGTGATGAGCCAGAACCTGGCCTACTATGCAGCTATGCTTGGAGAAGAGCAGGCCAGCTCCATTGGCCCCCGTGAGGTGAGATTTGCTTTACTGGGGGTGGCTGCCAGCCGATCCCAACCAGAGCGCAGGAGAGCGGGGTAGCAGAGGGCACGGGGATGCAGGTGGGGGCAGTGCGTGGGTCATTTGCATGCCCTGGCTTGCCCATCGCTCAGGATGAGCCACAGGGAATGTGGGGAACATGCCAGAGCCCCACAACTTCATCTGACCCAGAAAACAGAAGTGTAAAGCGACTGCTCTGCCCCTCTTGGCACCCCCACATCAACACTTGACGCCGTTTGCCTGGAGTCATTTCTGTTCCCTTGTGTGAGGTTTATATCTCCACTTTACCTGTTCCCACCCTGCCTTCTTGCCATTGTTCTGTTTTCTCCCAGCTTCCTGGGGAGAGAACAGCGTTATTCCTACCTCAATCTAAAACAAGGAGAAAAATCTATATACCACAAGGCTACTTCTCTGAGGTGAAAAGCCAGGTTCCTTTCTCCTGGCTCTGGAGTCCCGAGTCTCCAGTGCAAATATTTCTGCCGGCCTCTCCCGCATGAAGACCGCTTTCTTGCAGTTGTCCTCTCTGACCACTAGACGCCAAGCATCTGGCTCTGAGATGGCGTTTCCGGTCTCTGTCTTGCTTAACACACGCATACATACGCTGGACATTTTCATTTTCTCGTCTGTGGTCACAGCAGTGAGTCTGGGATGAGGAGAGAAGATAACTCAGGTGGCCAGTAACTGGAGTTCTCTTCCTGGCAAGAAGGGAGCCAGCATTTGCTGAGGTCCTGTCCAGATCAAGCCCTGTGTTGGGTGACCTCGGTCCATCCTCTTATTTAATCAGTACGGCTGTCACTGTAAGGGTGAGGTGACTTGTGCAGTGGCTTGTGGCTGCTGCTTGGTGGCTGGAATCTGTTCTTGCTTTGTCCCCAGTGCTGGCATGGTTCCTGATACATCTTGGCATTAGGAGACCAGGACTGAGTGAACCTGGGACAAAGTGGGGTTTACTCCCTGGTAGTCCGATTGAACTCCTGGAGAGGCTTAAATGAGATGGCTTGGGAGCTGGGGATTTAGCTCAGTGGCACAGCGCCTGCCTGGCAAGCGCAAGGTCATGAGTTCGATTCCTGGTACCAGGGAAAAAAAAAAAGGAGATGGCTTGTGACTTGGCGTCTGGCACTAGACGGAGGAGGCAAATAATTTAACTACTGGAGGAGAGCGTTTCCGTGCCCACGGGTAACTGCAGTAGCTGACTGGACTACATTTACAGACTTTGCTCTTCAAACTGCCCCATCTTTTATTTCAACTGATGATGTCTTCTTTATCTCTTCCTTTCTGCTGCTGCTTGGAGACTAGCAGGTCACCTAGGGAAAGATGCGACCCTGGAAGGGACTCAGTTTCCCTGCCCTGGGTAAGCACACCTGCGAGGCCAGCGTGCCAGGCCCAGCAGCCCCGCAGCCGCCTATGCCCAGGGAGGGACAGGTCCAGTCAGTCTGAGGGGCAGCAGGTGGCGGAGGAGAAAGCACATGGGCCCGAGGAGCAGAAAGACTTGGGTTTGAATGTTGGTCTCCGTTCCCCTGCTTTCTCTGACGTCACCTTAGACAGGGCACATCCCCTCTGCTCCTCAGTTTCTCCTTCTGTAGGATGAGGGTGGCTGTAAAGACTGAGTGAGTAACACAGAGTTGCCTGGCTCCAGAGTTCCCTGCCTGAGCACAGCTTCCTATAGACGTCAGGGGAATTCTGTTCCTGTGAAGCATCTTTCACATCCCTGAGGGTCCCCAGATTTCCTTCCCTAGAGATTAGTCAGGGCTGGGGAAGGGGAGGGAGGAGGCTTTTTCCTCCAAGGACAGCCTGGTTACACCACTTTGAGAAGTACCGCTTGTGGGGCCAGGGATTTAGTATTTAGCTCAGTGGCACAGCGCCTGCCTGGCAAGCACAAGGTCAAGAGTTCGATTCCCGGTACCCGAAAAAAAACGAAAAAAGACTCCTGAGAAGTACCGCTTGTGTCAGGCAGGAGGAACGCTTGAGCACAGAAGACAGGCCTTTGTCCCAACTGGGGAGCGGACCTGTCACGATGGTGGGGAGAGGAGGCCTCAGCCGACAGGGAGGGGAAGGCCACCCTGGGGCTGTGTGGCAGGGCCAGGCTCCAGGGATTCCTCCTTGTTTCCTCAGACTGCCCAGGAGTACCGCCGACGCAGCCTGCTGGAGAAAGAGCTGCTTTTCTTCGCTTACGACGTTTTTGGAATTCCCTTCGTGGATCCGGTGAGCCAGAGTGGGGGCTGGAGAGGAAAGGGGACAGCTCTGAGGGGCTGGGGAGTGATGCGACCCTGGGGAGTCTGAGCCGGAGGCAAGTATGGGATGCGTGGACCTTGAGGATAGGTGACAGCCAGGAAGATGGATGAGGACCCTGGCAGCGAGATGCAGCCTCGGTTCAGAGAGCTCCCACTTCACCTCCGGCCCCGTCTTGTGCCTGGAGTGAGACATGAGGATACACTGTTCCCCTCCCTGCCTTCAGGACACGTGGACCCCGGCAGAGGTGATCCCCAAGAGACTGCAAGAGAAACAGAAGTGAGGCCCTTGAAGACACTCACTGCATGATTGGATCAGTCTGACAAGTGCTTAAGGCTTCCTGCGCCCAGGCAGATGGGAACTCCTGGCCATGGGTGGGCAGGTCCAGTCTGGGAAGTTGGGGTGGCAGCACAGGGCCAGCCCCAGCCCAGTCCCCAGAGCCGCTGTGCTTGCAGGTCCGAACGGGAAACGGCTGTGCGCATCTCCCAGGAGATCGGCAACCTCATGAAGGAGATCGAGACCCTGGTGGAAGAGAAGACCAAGGAGTCCCTGGATGTGAGCAGGCTGACCCGGGAAGGTGAGAGGGTGGAGCGTGGGCACATTGGGTCAGGCAGGTCAGCCTGTATCTGCTGGGCGGCACACGGCTCACTGAGAGCCGGCCTCAGCGCACCTTGGCTCAGCAGCCATCCTAACCCACCCAAGGGACTTGTGCTGGACCCTAGGTCTTTAGCCAGGGAAGACTCCTGTGTGTTATTTAAGTAAGCGGGGATAGCCCAGACTTTTACTGTCCCTCTCCCCAAATTCTTCTCTTAACTCTTTGGGTTTTGTTTTTTTGTGTGGTTTTTTTGGGGGGGTGGTTTTTGGGGGGTTTTTTTTTGTTTTGTTTTGTTTTGTTTTTTTCCGGTACCAGGAATCGAACTCACGACCTCACGCTTGCCAGGCAGGCCCTGTGCCGCTAAGCTAAATCCCCAGCCCTTTCTCTTAAACTCTTTGAACTCTCTTTTTTTTTTTTTTGGTCTTTTTGAGACAGTGTCTCGCTATGCAGTTCAGGATGGCCATGAGCTCACTTTGTAGCCCAGGCTGGCCTCGAACTCACAACGCTCCTCCTGCCTCAGCCTCCTGAGTGCTGGGATTACAGGCGTGCACCACCACGCCTGGCAACTCTTTGAACTCTTGACTGTGTTACTAGGACTCAAATTTCTCCACCCTCCTTGGCGCCTCTTCCTTCCTGCCCATGCCTGCAGTCCGGGAAGGCCTCAGTGATGGCTCCACTCGGCTCTTGCCTGCCTTCCTCCTTTTCCGTTACCTTGGGCCTCCGTAGGCCCTACCACCTCCTTTCTGCACCCATCCTTCCTAGCCCCATGGGTCCCTGCCTGCCTCACACACAGGTGCCAGGCTCATCTGCTGGACACCCGGACCCTGAGCCCACTCCTGCTTTTTACCTCTCTCCGGCCTACTCTTCTGCGTTGGTGGGGCTGCTGCTTGCTCCTGAGCCTGCCGTCATCCCACACGTTCTTGTTCCCGCTTAGCCCTCCTCGTACTCTTCCCACCGTCCCTGCCCGTGAGGTCTGCACATTACCCTGCACAGCCTCTGTAGCCTCCCTTTTCTTTAAACATCGGGGACGTTGCAGTCTGCTTGCTCTGGGCATTGCGTGACTGTGCGTACGTGTGCCCATGTGTCCATGTGTTAACCTCTCACCGCACACCTTGTACTTGCTGACCCTCAGTGCGGAGATGGGGTTGAGTCAGGTCTCTAGAGATGCCAAAGAACCTGAAGGAGAAATAGTGGCTTTTGCCCGCCGTTGCTTAAATGGACAGTAGTGAATCTAAGAAAATTAACATGTGAAAAGAATGTGTCCATCATTTCTTTGTTTTTAGGGGCCTTTGTTATCTCCGTTGCGTCTCATAACTGCCTGAACCGTGGGTTAAGCAGATTGTTAAAGTCTATATTTTACATAGATGATGGTGATGATGATGTTGATGGTGGCTACACAATGGTAGCAGCGTTTTTGAGCATTTACTATAAGTCAGATACTATCCTAGGTTTTTTACTAGCTTTATTTATTGGGTTTTTTGGGGGGGTTTTTTTTGTCTTTTTGAGACAAGATCTCGCTATGCAGTTCAGGCTGGCCTTGAGCTCATTTTGTAGCCCAGGCTGGCCTCAAACTGACAACAGTCCTCCTGCCTCAGCCTCCCAAGCGCTGGGATTACAGGCGTGCGCCACCATGCCCGGCTAGCCTTAGTCATTGTTAACATGAAACCTCTAACTAGATGTTTGAAAGAGGAGAACAGTTTAATTAAATAAAATCAACCTCAAAGACATTGAATAACTTGGCTCAGGTCATGCAGCTAATAGGTGGAGGATCCAGGAGCGAGACCCAGGGCTGATTCCGGAACACAGATCTCAAGAGTGTGTGTGTGGTGTTTACTCAGCCATGCACAAAAGCCCAAAGCCAGCAGCTGTTTAGTGGCACAGGGAGGACCAGGACTTGGGTCTCATCTTCAAGTCCAAGTCCCATCCCTTGGACCACCGCCCCTGTGGAAGTGACTGGCTGGGAGGGTTCTCCAGAGAACAGGAAACTGGAATTTTGATTCCTGACGAGGAGGTGAGGAGAGCTGCTGCAGGACTTAGCCGGCCTTTGTGCTTTGCAGGAGGGCCCCTGCTGTATGACGGCATCCGTCTTACCATGAACTCCAAACTCCTGAACGGCTCCCAGCGGGTGGTGATGGATGGTGTGATCTCTGACGCCGAGTGCCAGGAGCTGCAGAGACTGACCAACGTAAGAAGCCCAGCTGCTGCCCCTCCCCAAGGGTGCAGTGGGCACCTTTCCAGCGGCCTCTTAGAAATTGAGCCTGTGTCTGCCCTGTGCTGCCCGCCTCTTCTCAGGCCCTCAGCTGCCCTGGCTAACTTCACCTTGTCTTTGGACCTTGTAGGCAGCAGCAACTTCAGGAGATGGGTACCGAGGCCAGACCTCCCCACATACCCCCAACGAAAAGTTCTATGGCGTCACTGTCTTCAAAGCCCTAAAGGTAAAAACAGGTTCTGGGCATTCTAGAGTGAGAAGAGGGGTGTGTGATTCTCTGAGGGGCAAAGGAAAGGGGACTGGCAGGTCTGGGGAGGAGTTGGGGATTATGATGGAAAAGGAAAAGGGGTCTAATTGCTGACATTTCAGTTGCCATGGAGTGAGAATAAGTCATGTTGAGTGAGGTCAGCTTGAATCCTGGCAACTAGACCACATATGATATAATGAGATGCGCAAGACAACTGATCGCCAGAGCTGCGGGATGCTGCCTGAAGAACAGGGCCTTCCAGAGGGCTGTTTTCCTAGCAGGGTGCACAGGGGCTTCAGAGGAGACGTACCAGGAGGGAGAAAGAATACAGCGGGGTGTCGGCTGTGGGGAGCAGCAAGGCTGCTTCCTCCCAGGGGCTTGGAAAAGGCATGAGGCCTGGAGTCTCAGGCCTCGGTGTCCCTGGCAGCCCACAGAGGGGCGATAAGGGGCGCTGATGATCGGTCTCCTTGGCAGCTGGGGCAGGAAGGGAAAGTTCCTCTGCAGAGTGCCCATCTGTACTACAACGTGACTGAGAAGGTGCGGCGCGTCATGGAGTCCTACTTCCGCCTGGACACCCCCCTCTACTTCTCCTACTCCCACCTGGTGTGCCGCACCGCGATCGAAGGTGAGCATGCCGTGCCGCACTGCTGGAGCCTGGGGACACAGAGGGGTAGGATGCTGTCCCTCCACCCTGCCAGGGAGTGGGCACACGCAGCCTGGTCGCAGCCCAGAGTTGGGAGCAGCAGCAGCATGGAGGGAGTCACACTGACCTCCCTGGCGGCCGTGAAGGCTTCCCGGAGAGGTTGTGGCAGGTGACAGGCTGAGTACAGTGTGGCATCTCAGCGCGTGGGTCGGGTGCAGGTTGGAGAGCAGCAGACACACAGATTGGAGGTGTTGGGGACCCCACTAACTAAGTGTCTTTATTTAGCTCAGTGTGTGGAGGTTTCAGTCCATACTTGCCTGGCTGCAAGGCAGAGTGGCACATGGCCGAGGGCCACGGTTCATGGCAGCAGAAAACAGCAAAAGTAGCAAGCGCAATAGACAGGACAGGATGTGGCAGAGAGCATACTTCTTTCCCTCCCTTCCATTGTGTGTAAACTGCCTGTTCCAGAGCAGGTGTAGCAGTCACACCCACAATCCCAGCATTGAACAATGGATCAATCAAAAACTCTAGGCTCCCCCACCCATGACTGCATGAGGCTTTGTGGGGACATCCAGGCACAAACCATAACACTGAGGGAACTAAGAAGGTTTTCAGATTGCAGAGTATATCCCGGAGTTTGTGGTTTGTCTCTTCAATCAGTCATAAGCTATATTGTAAGCTCTCTGTTCCTAATTGTTAACTGCCAGGTTTGTGGGGGAGCTGTTTAATTTCCAAGTGAGGTGCCAGGTTATTTCTCATTCCGTCACTTTCTCACAGGAGTGAGGTGCAGCTAGGTTGTAGGGCTCACATGCAGCCCACAGCAGGCTCTGTCTGCCGTCACCATTGGAGGGCCCCTGGCAGTGACGTGCCCTTAGTAGGTGGCCTCTTCCACCCTCAGAATGTTTGGTGTTCTCTGAAAGTCTAGGCACAGCCAAAGGAATGTATCAGGCGTGAGACTTTTGTGTCACCGAGCCTTACAGTAGGGTCACTGGTATAGCCAGCAGGAAGCCAGGGTAGGATCATCAGACAGCGAAGGACTCGGCACAACCTTCGTTTTTAAAAGCTTAGTTTTGGAGCTGGCAATTTAGGTCAGCAGCAGAGCCCCTGCCTGGCAAGTGCAAGGTTGTGAGTTCGATTCCCGGTACCGGAAAAAAAAAACGAAACAAAAAGAAGCTCAGTTTTACTGCTGCTGTGTCCAGAGATTTGGTGAATGTGAACCAGAGGGAAGGCCAGGCCGTTGATAGGAGTGAGCCATAGGGAACAGGTTGATGGCTGGGTGTTGGGACCTGGCAGTGGGAGGAGAGAGAAGAAGCCATCGGGGAGGTGTGGGGAGGATGGAGGGGCCCAGTGGCTGGCTGGACAAGTAGGGGCAGTCAGGGGGGCATCTCCCATCCCTACAGCGTGTGTGCTGGGGGAAGTGTCCCACGCCTGGAGCTGTCTGCTGGCATTGTGCAGTAAATCCAGCTGTTCCGTTCTGTGTCCTCCTACTCCCAGCGCCCCCTCTAAAGTTGACCCCTGAGGTGTCACTGCTCCTAAAGGCCCTTCCCTCTTCTGCAGCCCTGCTGGGGGGTGACTCCTGTACCTGTCACCCTCCTGACTCCTTATTTTCACTTCTCTGCACCTTCGTGTTTTACACAGTTGAGCCACAAACAGGGTGAGGCCCCTTGGCCCGAGATCTTCCCCATTGAGACCCACCCTGCTCACCCTGAACTGTGACTTAGACCGAGAACTGCACACCCAGGTCATGACAGTTTCCGTAGATTCGAGCACATACTGGGAAGAAGCCACACGTAGCCCGTGTAAATGGGAGAGCTGTGACGCCGCCCCCTTAGCCCAGCACTAACCCAGGTTACCTTGGCCCCAGAGACGCAGGCTGAGAGGAAGGACAGCAGCCATCCAGTCCACGTGGACAACTGCATCCTGAATGCGGAGACCCTCGTGTGCGTCAAGGAACCCCCCGCCTACACCTTCCGGGACTACAGGTGAATGGGTGCAGGTGGCAGGTGTGGCACAGGCCTGTGCTTGCCCTGTGGGGCCCTGCAGTTTCCTCTGCTCGCCGGTTCACCCTCCGCACGCAGTGCACGCACAGGTCGGGCCGGCTGTCCCCAGCCCCACGCCCCTGCTAGGGAGCCAGGCAGTGGAGGGACGGGTACGACTGTGCAAGGGGACTTGGCACAGCAGCACTGACGGGCACGTGAGGAACTCCGGGGGCAGCGGTGGGGTAGGAGGGACTGCAGAGTGTTGGTGGCCTTGGAGAATCGCCTTGGAAGCTGCTCTCCTCTGGAAGACCCCGCAGCTGCTGGACAAGCAGAGGAAGGGAAGGCCCTGGGCTGGGGAGGAAGGGGTCATGTGGGGTGTCTTGCTTTCCCAGTGCCATCCTTTACCTAAACGGGGACTTCGATGGAGGAAACTTCTATTTCACCGAGCTGGACGCCAAGACTATGACGGTGAGTGCTTCTTTGTTCTCTGGAGCGGATGTCCAGAGTCCAGTGCACGGAAGAACCACCTGGGCTTCCCTGTGGCCAGTGCCCCTTCTCCGTCCCAGGGGCTTTGAGATACATCGGCTGTGCCCTAACGGCCGTTAGCTCTGGCCTCTGTGAAACCAAGCTGAGGTTGCCCGTGGCTTTTCTGTCCTTCCCCTGTGTCCACCTCCTTTTGACCCTGTAGGCAGAGGTGCAGCCCCAGTGTGGAAGAGCTGTGGGATTCTCTTCAGGCACTGAAAACCCGCATGGAGTGAAGGCTGTCACCAGGGGGCAGCGCTGTGCCATTGCCCTGTGGTTCACCCTGGACCCTCGGCACAGTGAGCGGGTAAGAACTGTTGTGCTGCCGTCTGCTTCCTCTGCTTCCTCCTTCCCCAAATCCTGCGGCTGGAGGTGTAGTCGTGAAAGGAGCGCTGGGCTTGGGACTCCCAGCTCCAGCAGTGGCACTGTGGTCACACTGCCTCGTCCTCCGTGGGCCTTCTTCCTTACCTGTCAGCAGGGTCGGGGGGGGGGGTCCAAGCAAGGGGTGCTGCTGAGTCCTCGGTTCCGTCCTTGGCACACCTCAGCTGTCTACCTCGGAGCGCAGGGACTGTAGGGAAGGAGGGGCGCTCGGAGGCCGCAGGGCACTGCCTGCTTTGTCCTTGAGGAAGCGGCAGCCAAAGGGGGGCAGGTACGTGGTCCAAGCCTCTCTGAGTAGGCGGGGTTTGTCCTTGCAGGACAGAGTGCAAGCCGATGATCTGGTGAAGATGCTGTTCAACCCGGAGGAGGTGGACCTGCCCCAGGAGCAGCCCCTGCATGCGCAGGGCAGCGAGCCCCAGCCTGGACAGGAGTCGGCCTCAGGCAGTGCGGCGAGGCACAAGGAGGAGCTATGACGGCGCCAGGTCGCACTCAGCCAAGCGATGGACCGTGGGGAGGAGCTCTGTGGTGCGTGCTGGCCTGCCCAGCCCCCGCGGGCCGTGGAGCAGGGGGCGCTTTGGTCTGTTGCCCCGTCAAGAGGATCCTGCCCATCACCGTCCCCGTGGTGCTACTGTTCCTGGAGCGGACATAGAAGGACATCACTCCTCTCCAGGCCTGGCTGAAGGCTCGGGACATGGGCCCAGAGCCACCGAGGGGCCCGCACAGGCGACTGTGTGACAGCAATAAAGTATTTAAGTGTCTCTGTAGACAACCGAAGAATGCATGATGGGTGGCTCTGGGTTTGGTTTGTTGCGAGGGTGGAAAGATGCTCCTTCTACCCCAGTGACTTGAGGGGGACTGCCCTGGGCAGGGTGCAGCGGCCTGGGTGACGCGAGGAGGCCTGGCTAGAGCCCCGCGCAGCCTCAGTCCAGACACCTACCTAGCCAGGCACCCTGGGGCTGTCGTCTGCATAAGAGGGGTTGTAGTCCTCACTACCCACCGTCTGGGCGACCTGCGGCCCAGGTAATGTCGGAGGTGATGGCACTTTGTAAAACTCCGGGTGAATGGCCGGGATTATCACTAATCCTCTCCTGGCAGGGAGTGGTAGTCAGCAGTGCTCTGGCGTGTCGTCCCCGTGGCAGCCACATGCTTCCTGCTCTGCTGGCTGGCCTCGGAGCCCCACGCCTCAGCGCTTCCCTGTGCAGGATGACACTTGTAGGAGACAGCGTGCGACTGGAGATTCGGCTCCTGACTGTGTCCCTAGCCCAAGCCCATCACCTCTGTGCTTGAGATGCCATAGGGTAGGAAGTGTAGGAACTGAGTAATCATTTAGTCAATTGACTAATATTTACACACTGAGCATCAGCTAAGTTCCTGGTGCTGAAAATATAGCCCCACGTTTATAAAGAGTCTATTTTGTAGGGGAGACAAATAAACATGGGGCAAGTGGCATGGGTGATGGTGTTTGTGTGTGTTTAATCCTTGGAAGTAAAAAAATAAAGCAAGTCAGGTCCCTGAAGCAGGAGGAATAGCCAGGAGGCCAACAAAGTAGTACAGTAGGCCAGGGGAGATGGGAGGCCAGGGTTGGGAGGCCCAGCAGGGTTGTGAGTGAGTGGCGGCGTCTGACATGTTAAAGGGCTTCATGAGCAACGTGGAGACCAAGCTATGGGTGCAGGGACTGGACACGACCAGCGAGGGGCTGCCAAGCAATAGGGCAGAGGAGAAGATGGCTCGGGCCAGGGTTGGGGGACGAAGGCAGCGGCAGCCCTCCTCTAGGTCTGGTCTCAGCATAGAGCCTACAGGAAGTGATGGGTTCCCGTGAAGTGTGAGGAAAACACCCAGAAGCCCAAGCAGCTGGACCACAAACTGCCTCCTCTTTCCCAGATCAGTCCCTGCAGAAGATGCAGGAACCCAGTTTGGCTTAGATGTGCTCACAGCTTGAGAGTGAGGGGCATCAGGAGATGACAGGAGAGACAGCGGAGGCAGAAAACAGCTTGTCTGGAAGCGAGGGGCTGGAGGATGGTGGGACCCTGCTGAGAGCCAGGGGGTCCAGAGAGATGGTGTCCTGGGGTCTGGTGAGGGTGCCGGGAGGGAGCGGGCGTCACACGTTTCCCAGGGTGTGAGCGTGACAGGAGCTGAGGATCCAGCTTTGGATTCAGCAGCAGGGAGATGAGCAAGCACGTCAGCAAGAGATGCTGAGGGGAAGTGGCGTGGGTGAAAGTGATGGCGGGAGTGGAGAAGGGGTGTGCAGTGAGCAAGAGCGATGGTGTGTGGGACAACTTTGTCGAGGCGTTTGGTGCTAAGCACAAGCAGATGAACGAGAAAGATATGTGGTCACAGATGGTTTCTCAAACTGGGAGGCAGCATTGCATGTGGGTTTGCCACAGGGCCTGGGCTATCCAGGTGCTCGCCATCCCTGTCATCATCGGTGATCTGCATGTCCTGTCTGCGTGACTACTCACCGTGCAAAGTAAGACCACGTTAAAGGAAAGTGCACAGACTCCCCGTGCCCTGAGCGGATTGACCGTGGCTCTCCCACTTGGAGTTGTGTGACCTTCAAGTTGTGCGGCCCCCGGGTGGGTATCTTCCCCAAGCCAATGGGATCACAGTCCTTACTGCTCAGGACAGCCGAGGGTACTAGCGGGGCTGCTCACAAAGCACGCAGCACAATGCTTAGCATGTGGTAGAGACCCAACTTTATAGAAATCTACATCATCTCATTCTGATTTTCTAGAAGTTTCCACATCAAAGCAGATGACCTTTTCAGTTTCAACGTATGCCAACCACACACAGCAGACTGTCTTTGTTGAGCTCACAAAAGGCTAAATGTTTTCAGTAGCAACAGGACCAAGATAAGTGTATGGAACTGGGCTGGGGCGGGTTATCCTAGAAGCAGGAGTGATGGCGGGGACTTGCGGAGATCCAGCTGTGGCTGCTCGCCAGGCCCATGTTTGGAAAGCATATATTAGGGCCTGCCTTCAACAGCAGGAAGTTAGCTTGACATGGAAGGAGAGAGCCCATGGGAGGAGTAGAGGGGATGTGAGGCAACCTAGCAAACCTGGGCAGATTTGGACGAGACAGCCCTGGGTCTCCATAACCCAAGGCAGCTCAGAGCTCCCAGCAAGGCGCCAGAGACCTCTGCACAGAGAGCCAAAGGGCACCGTTGGGCTGTGTGTCCCTGACGTGTCCTTGTCCTGGGTTAGGCAGTGGAACCCAGGAGGCTACTAGAATGGCCCCAAGATATTTACCATCTCAGGAAGGAGGCCAATAGGACCCTAAAAGTGCAGTGACTAGGAATCCGCAGAGTATTATGGGCTGCAGATCAGGGTGCTTAACCAGGCCTGGGCGGCACATTGCGGGCTGTTTTGCTTTCAGCTGTGTGGTCTGAGGTGAGCCCTCTCTGTGATTACACGGGAACCTCATGCTCTGGCGTTCAGAGTAGGATGACCACCACCACTTCTGAGCCTCCAGAGTTTCCCATGGTGGCTGCAGAGAATGTGCTAGATTACAACAGACTGAATGAATCAGACCCCCTATCTGGCTATGGGAGAGGCTGGTGGAAAGGTCTCTGATGTTTCCTTAGGAAGGAGGCAACAATATTTAATCCTCATACCCATCCATCAGTCAGCAACACACTTGCTACCTCTTGGCCAGGCACCGCTGCAGAGGGTGCAGCACCAGGTCCTCAGCTGCAGGTGGTCTGCCCCAGCCAGGACTAGAAGACAAGTGTGCTGCCATGGGGTCGGGGGGCTTTGACCATGGCTTCCACTAGCCAAGGTCCTTTTGGCATCTTCTGTGTTTCAGCAGCGTTTCTCACCTACTGCTTGACCCTTGTAGACTTCTGGTGAACCAGACGGGGCAAATGGTATTAACTTTTTTCGGTTGAGGAACCAGGCTGAAAGAAGTTGAAGGACTTGCCTAATGTCACACAGCTTCTCAGTGGCAGAGGTAAAGCTAGAACCCTCAGCCTCTCATAACACAAATCAAAGCACTTTTTAAATGGTAACCTATGTGACCCCGAAGAAGTTTCAAATAAGTCTTCCAGGAGGGAGGCTGCAGTGGGAGCCTGAGCCCCTCCTGCACTCCCTGCGTGCCTGGCAGTCACCGGGCTGCATGGGCCACCAGGAGGGGTGGTGCATGGGGCAGAGAAGTTATTTGGGTTTAGGAAGAACCACTGTGGAAAAGACATGAAGTCCACAAGGCTTTGAACATTGTGAGGGAGCCGTCAGGGTAGCAAAGCCTTTTTTGGTGCAGCAAGAGTCAAACCGTCAATAAGAAGGGCTAAACAAAAGAGCTCCAGAGGAGGAAGTTAGTGTCACAGGCTCTGGAAAGCACAGGATGGAGGAGCAGACAGGCCTCCTGCTGCTTCTGGGGCCTCACAGCTGCAAGACTTTAACCCTGGGCAGCAGTGTCTTCCTCTCTGGCTCTCAGCTCTGAGTTATCAACAGAGGGAGCTGCAGGTGGTCTCTGAGGCTCTGGGTGGCCCTGACACTCCATTTCTGTGTGGCCTTGGGGCTCCAGGGATGATACCTGACTTGGGCCTCCTGAGACTGGTGTGTCCCTTGTGTCTTCCTCAAAGAGAAGCACTTACAAAAGGCGGGACAAGGGACCAAGGCCCAGCTTAGGGAGAGATGGGGCTCCCTCCAGGCACCTGCCGTGTGCAGCCCCTGCCTTCCTCAGATGTCACGTACCTTGTTCAACCACTGCAATTCTGTGAGACAGATGTGTTTAGAGGTAGGGACAGCGGCTCTACGGTCAGCTCAGATCATCTATAAGGAGCATCTTGTAGCTGCTGTCCCTCCCAACCTGGACCAGGTACCTCCAAAGGCAAGGGCGTGGGGAGAGACCAGGAGCTGGCACTGCGCACATCCCAGAGAAGCCTTTCCCGCTGCTCCCCAAGGGTCAGCCCCACAGCCCCACCCAGGGGAGGCCTACCTGGAGGCTGCCTGGAGTGGTAGAGGAATTAACATAAGAAGCACCAATCACAGCACACTCACATGGTCCCAGGAGTCTTGGGCTTTTGTCCCCTTGCCCATAACAGCCTCTGCTCCCCTTGATCCTACTGTCCTATCATTATCTGTGGTAATTTAGGCTGACTTCTCTGCCACCACTTTAGACCCCACTGGCAGTTTGGGACCCACAGGCCACATCAGGAGGCAGGGCTATGTAGACAGAGACCCACATGGCTCTGACCTTCCTGACAGGCTCAGAGGGACCTGGTGTACATCCCAAAGGTCAGACAACGCCCACCCCTGGCCCCTCAGAGGGCAGACCACTACCCCTGCCCTGAGCTGGAGCTGCAGGCCATACCAGGGGCCCACGCCCTGGGCGGACACACAGGACAGCCATTGTCTATGCGGTGCCTGGCACCCTCTCGTTTGCATAGCCATGCGAAGAATGCAAGGGAGCAGGCTGGGTACTTGTCCCTGGAAGGGGGCTGGGATGATGTGGGGGGGCCTGGCAGGGGTCACAGCAGGACCCTGCAGTCCCCCAGTGCAGGCCAGGAAAGGTGGGTGGGCTGTTGGGGATGCAGGGGGCGGCCAGGTTCTTGCGGGAGTGGGGTCAGGGGTGTAACATTCCTCCTGCACCCACACTGAGCCATGGGGCTGAAGTGGACGTGAGGGGATTGCTAATGAGGTGGAGGAGAGTTAAATATTCCCCTGCTCCTGAGGGCTGAGCCCCATAGGAAACAGAAGAGAAAGGTGGGGGTCCTGGAGGGGGCAGCCTGAACCCCAGGAATGTGCAGAGGCACTGCTCCCCTAAGGCTGTTTTGGAGCTGGGGGCCCAGCCCACTGTCCTAGGTCCCAGCAGGAGCTGCAGAACCAGCCAGCAAGGGGATTAATGGGCTGAGCAATCCGCCTTCTTTTAGGTCAGTGCCAGAAGCCTGGAGCTGTCTCCCCAGCTCCCGGCCAGCCCCTGCCTTCAGGCCCGCAGCCAGCTCTGGCCGAGCCTCAATGGGGCCCCTCTTCTGACCCCTCAGATCTCAAACACACCCCATACACATATTCCCTGGTCTGGCTCTCTGGCCCCCTTATTTCTGGTGCATGCAGATCCCAGCTCCCTAGAACCCTGTCCCTAACACTCAGCTCCAGGCCTAGTCTCTCCGCATCTGGCCTCAAAGGTTCTCCCTGATGTCTAACTCTAGGTTTACCTGCTGCAAGCTGGAATTTCTTCTCTGTCCTCAAGTCAGAGGGCAGGAAACCCCAAGGATCAGATCAGCCTTATAAGAGTAAAGTCCATTGTCTCAGAGCTGGTGCTCAGGGTAGAATTTTAGGGGACTTGAATCAAGCTCCTAAAGAGTGGAAAGCCCTGGAGTAGGCAGGGTCACTCTTCCCAGCCCCTCCCTTCTCTATCCCTGGGACCCACCTGGGCCATAAGTCCCACCCCCACCCCCAGGGGGCTGGGCATGAGCTTTGTTGAGTACCCTGGCCTGGCTCAGGCGGCTGCTGTGGGCGGGCCTGTGGCCTTTCCCCCTGCATTCTGGAGCGCAGAGCCACTGCCTTTGCTGCTGCTGCAGCTGCTGTCCCCTCCTTCTTCTGCTTCCAACCACTCGCTGCTCCCCTGCCCCAGCTGTTCTCTCTCCTGGCCATGACCACAGCGATCCCCAGGACCCTGGCCCAGCTCTGAGTCCAGGGGCCCTTGGTCCCCCCTCTTGGGCCATGGCCAACTCGGGTCTCCAGCTGTTGGGCTACTTCCTGGCCCTGGGAGGCTGGGTGGGCATCATTGCCAGCACCGCCCTGCCGCAGTGGAAGCAGTCTTCCTATGCAGGCGACGCCATCATCACGGCTGTGGGCCTCTACGAAGGACTCTGGATGTCCTGCGCCTCACAGAGCACTGGTCAGGTGCAGTGCAAGCTCTACGACTCACTACTCGCCCTGGACGGTAGGCCTCGGGCTGGCAGGCTGGGGGTGGGGTACGGGGTGGGTTGGGAGACTTCCGCAAGCTTGTCTATAGTCTGCTGTCAGCACCGGGTCCCATACTCCAACTCCCTGCACGATCCGCACTACTTCCCTCACATGCCTGGGCCCTTTGGGCGGCAGGGGGCTCAGGATAGGATCTGGCATTTTCAGGTCCACTGAAACCTTGTGAGACAGCAGCGCTTTTGCGTTCTGAAGCCTCCTTTGTAAAGGGCAGGGAATACTAATACCTTACATGAAAGAGAAGAGGGCCTGGCACACCAAAGGCCTGAAACCCTTCAGTCCACTTCTCCCCACTTTCTGTGTGCAGACACACATTTGTGTACACACAACGACTGCCCAGGCCTCCATCCACACAAGTGTGCCTATGCACACACAGAAGTACTGAACACACACACACGCATGCACACACACACACACACACACACACACACACACACGCATGCACGTAGGAGTTTCGGCCCATGCCCTTTGTTCCTGGGGTATGGAGTTGAGACTCAGACTGGCTCATAAGTGGGCACCTGTGCTCTGACTTTGCAGGGCTGAACAGCCACACTCTGCCCAGGGTCCCACAGGCAACCAGGCAGGACTGCCCTCAACCAGTCCACTGCATGAGTCCAGCCAGGTCACAGGCTCCTCCGGGGGCCCAGGTCTCCTGAGCTGGCCTGGGGCCCGGGACTGACCTGCACACCCTTGCCGGGGGCTGTGGGGGGGAGGCATCCAGCTGCTGTGGGTGCCCGAAGTCAGAGAGGTTGATAGGGGGTGAGGGTCGCTGCTTGGGGCCTGACTGGGCTCAGGTGGGCCTCAGACACACTCAGCTTTTTCTTCCATTGAACCTGATCGGCCCAGGAAGAGCTGCTTGGGAGTGTCCAGACCCAAGACAAAGCAGCAGAAAAGCCAATTCAAACTATCCTGTCATTAGGGGCTGGGGATTTAGCTCAGCGGCACAGCGCCTGCCCGGCAAGCTCAAGGTCGTGAGTTCGATTCCTGGTACCAGAAGAAAAACAAAAAAAACAAACAACAAACAACAACAAAAAAAGCTACCCCGTCACCAAAGCACTCTGGACCCTGCAAGAGAGAGCGAAAAGCAGGGCCAGCGGCGAAGAGGGCCCAGGCCCACACCCTGCAGCCACCTTTCAAAGTCTCACCTGCAGGCAGGCCCTGGCCTCCGCGGGATCCTGCCCAAGCTCCTCCCACACAGGCCCCTCCCACTACAGATGTGACCCACACACAGCCCACCCCACGCCGCTCAGCCCTCTCCGCACCTCCACCGGCGCCCTGCTCAGTGCAGCCCTGGCCCTGCCCTAGGTCACATCCAGTCAGCACGAGCCCTGATGGTGGTGGCCGTGCTCCTGGGCTTCGCGGGCATGGTCCTCAGTGTGGTGGGCATGAAGTGCACACGAGTTGGAGACAGCAACCCCATTGCCAAGGGCCGCGTGGCCATCTCCGGGGGTGCCCTCTTCCTTCTGGCAGGTGAGTGGCTCTGCTTCCTCTTCTACCCTCTTGGCCATGACAGGGGTGCTGCTCAGGGACTGGGTGCAGCTGAGCATCCCTCCACTTTGTCCTCAGGCCTCTGCACTTTGACTGCTGTCTCCTGGTATGCCACCCTGGTGACCCAGGAGTTCTTCAACCCGAGCACACCTGTCAATGCCAGGTGAGTGCCAGGGTTGGCTACTGCCTCAGCTATTCTGGGGCCACTGCCCTGTGTCCGGCAGTCACTTGGAAAAGGAAATAGGGAATGGGACCCAGCTGCTGTCTGAGAAACTCTGGAGCAGGGAGCCGGGGTAGGTGCAGCCGGGCCCCTTATGAGGGCAGGAAGCTGGGGTGTGGGGAGGGCAGGACAGCAGGGACCTCCAAGGAGCTAAGATCCTGGCTCTGAGCTCTATTCTTTTTTTTTTTTTATGTATGTGGTGCTGGGGATCGAACCCAGAGCCTTGTGCATGCAAGGCAAAAAGCTCTACCACTGAGCCACATCCCCAGCCCAGTTTTTTTTGTTGTTGTTTTTTTTTTAATCTGAGCTCTATTCTAATCCCAGCTCCACAGGTCCTGGCAGAATATTGGGGAAGTTACTTAATCTTTCCATGCCTGGCTTTTTCCTCTGTAAGATGGAGCTCTCACGTGGTTGAGAGAGTCCACCAGACAATGCACGTAGGGTTAGGACTGTGCCTGGACTGGGAGATTTCTCAGTACACTTGAGCTGTTCTTATTTCTCCCGAAGGCAGCAGGTGAGGTGGCTTCCTACTGGAGGTAGCAGTTTTATGGGACCAGAGAGATGAGACTGGAGAAAAAAAAGGACAGATGGGGCCAGGCTAGCAGGCTTCCAGGGACCGTTCTTCACCCTGGGGTGGAGGGCAGCACAACCCCTCTGCTGTGGTGTGCAGAATGGGGGAGGGGGCCAAACCCATAGGGTGGTGTCTCGGTTACTTTTTTCTCGTTGCTGGGACAAGATACCCAACACTCAAAATGAAGGAAGGAGAGGTTTATTTAGCTCACAGTTTGTGGAGGTTTCAGTCCATACTTGGCTGGCTGCAAGGCAGAGTGGCACATGGCAGAGGGCAGCAGTTCATGACGGTGGAAGATAACAAAAACAACAAGAGCAAAAAGGGAGGAGTGGCAGAGAGCAAGGCTCTTTCCCTCCCTTATGCTGTATGCAAACTACCCTTCTCAGGGCAGGTGTAGCACTCATACCATAACCCCAGCAGTGGACCATGGATCAGTCATAAACTCTAGAAGCCTGCACCCATGACCGCATGAGGCTTGGGGGGACATCCAGACACAAACCATAACAGGTGGCAATGGCAGAGAGTCCGGAGCAGAGAGCTCAAGGCCAGGAAGGTAGCGCTGGAAAGCACATTCAGAGATATTTGGGAGCTGCAATGGTCAGGACATACGGGATCAGGGGCATTGGGGCTGAATCAGGGGCTCTCAGGAGAGTCTGGGCCACCCTGCTCCTCCCAGCTGAACCAGGAGCTAAGACGGGAACATCTGAGACATTCTCACAGGCCCACGGGTGGAGGGCAGAGAAGAAGAGAAGCCTCATCTGTGAGGAAGGCTTCCTGCAGTCAGCAGAAGGGGAGGAAAAGGAGGAGGCTTTGGGTGAGAGCCTGTTCCCTGGGGGCAGCTACAACCACAGAAAGCTTCCAAGCAAGGTCAAGCTCAAGAGGCCGAGCAGAGACTGGGCCCTTCATCCTTTTGACTGTCCCAAGGCTGCCTGGACTGGATGAATCCCAGCCTCTGTCTGCCCTCCAGGAGTTCTTGGGGACTGAAGGTCCTCTTGGTAAGAGTATGGCGGGGGCAGGGTAAGCACGAGGGCATCAAGGAGTTAGCATGGGAGGGGCTGGGGATTTAGCTCAGTGGCACAGCGCCTGCCTGGCAAGCTCAAGGTTGTGAGTTTGATTCCCAGTACCAGAAGAAAAAAAAAAAAAAAAGGTAGCATTGGAACTAGGCCCTGAAGGCAGAGTAAGAAGCTAGGGGGCGTTCCAGGAGGGCCACCTAGTGCTTAGGCACAGAGGCAGGAGACAGCTCAGTAAGCCAGCAGGGCCCCGCGAAGAGAGTCCGGAAGGCCGGGGGGAGGAGCCAGGCCTTCCCTGCAGGCAGTGGAAAGCAACCCTCGCGGCCTATTTGGACTTCAAGGGCCTCCCAAGCCCCCTCCACTGGCCAGAAGTGGAAACGAGAGCAGGGGCTGCAGAGTAGACCTCCAGCCTGCAGGGCCACCCTGAGCCTAGGAGGAAGAATGAACATTCACCCCAGTTTACCTGGGGAGATGAGGGGGCGTGAGCACCCCGCTCTCCAGCTCTTGCATCCCATGCTCCCTCTGGCAGGCCCCTGAGAGGAACCGTGAGGCAGGGTGGGTTTGCAGCCACACCTCAAGCTGCTCATCGTCCACTCTGCAGGTTTGAATTTGGCCCAGCTCTGTTCGTGGGCTGGGCCTCGGCTGGCCTGGCCATGCTGGGAGGCGCCTTCCTCTGCTGCACGTGCCCGGAGCCCGAGAGAGCCAACAGCAGCCCACAGCCCTACCGCCCAGGACCCTCCACTGCTGCCCGAGAGTACGTCTGAGCCCTGCCAGCCCCAAACGGCCCTCCTGCCCAGCGCCCCTCGCCCAGCACTCCAGCCAGCCCTGACAGCATCCTGAACAGGGCAGAGGACGTCCCCCAAGCCCCATTGGGGACTCTGAGAACTTGGTCCTCAACACATACATACTCACTCTGCCATCTGAGACCCAGACACTGAGAAAGACACCAGAGGCAGGACCCCCCTCCCTCCAGTATGCAGCACAGGTGCCACTGTGCTGCCACAGCCGTGGGCAGCCCTCAGGCACCAGCCCAGAGGGCGGCCTTATCACCCATCTACTTACTTTCCACATTTACCCTGTGCTGGGCCCTGAGGATCCTACTGTGACCAAGATGGATGCTAGCACCCAGTACCTGGGGTGGGCACAGCCCTCCCCCCACTTGCGTTCCACTCAGTACCCAGATAAGTGACGTCCCGTGTTACGTGCTAGCACCCTGAGGGTCCGAGAGACCAAAAGGCTCAGCCCTGCTTTCTCTGAGCGTCGGTCATGGGCTCACCCGGTCCCTGACACAGCCTGGAAACCCATACAGATAGCTAGGTCAAACGGTGCCACCCACACCCTGGTAATAGGCCCCAAGCAGGGCTGCTGTGAAGGCCAAGGTCCACGGCACTGGCCAGGCCCTGTGTCCGGGCCTGAGCTCCACAGCCCCCGTGTCCCCCGCTGCTGCTCACCCCACTAATCAGCTCTCTCTCTTTTGACTTTCAGACCTGTTGTTAAATTGCCCGTCTCCACCAAGGGCCCCCTGGGTGTGTAATGTCCAAACCCCTCGCTGGGCCGTCCCCCTGCCACACCTAGTCTGTGTGCTTGGTATTTTTTGGAAAGAGAAGTGAACACTCAGCCCCAGTGTGGTGTCCTTTGCTCTGCTCCTGGCATGGCTGGGTTGGGACCTGGGGTTGGAGCTGACCCCTGGGGGGTGTCGAAGTGGGTTTCACAACACAAGTGGCAGAACAGGAAAGACCGTCAGGCTCTGGATTGGGTTTAGCATCTCCTGAGGGGAGATCCAACCGTGCCCTCTCTCGGCCCAGCACTGGAAGCAGACCCCTAGGGTCAGAGAGCCCCTGGCATGGACAAAAGCTCACAGGTGACAAGCCCCGCCTCTGGGAGCACTCGTAAGGGAAGGACAGCCCCGGTGAGGCCTTCCGGTTGGGGCTGGGTCAGAGCTGGGTGAGGGGACCTTGTGCAGGAACTTCCTCCACAGGAAGGCCATAAGGACTGTCCTGGCAAGGGCTGAAGCCCCCGTGCAGGTCCACCCCGAGTGCTGCCATGGGTGGAGACTGTGGTCTGAGCTCCATCCCACAGCCCAGGGTGCCGTCAGTTGGAAGGGCTTATATTACTGAAGCCCAGATTGGCCCCAAGGCCGGGCAGTGTTCTTCACCCTGACTGAGCACATGCTCAGCCTCTGCCAAGCCAAACAGCAACCCTGGACTGCAGGTCTCTCCCTGCCCCTGCCGCTTCCGTCCGTATATATAAACACCCTCATGGAAAGAGGCGTCCGCCGCTGTCCCTCTTCCTCTGCCTTCCAATGCCTTATCTGGCTTTGTGCAGCGCCGGTACATGGCCAGATCGCCAGCCAATTCACCAAACCCCAAAGACACAGTCCAGCCTCTCCCTCACGCTGGAGTCTGCGTGGTGAAGTGACCAAACGCAAGTCGGAGGAGACGACTGTCACACACACTGCAGCTGAAGTCAGGATGGGAGAAGCAAAGCAAGGGACAGGGAGCGGGTGTGGGACTGCCCCCAATTCCCAGCCTGGCAGCTGCTGAGCATCCACAAAAGCCTCTGGCTACAGGGGCAATGCCTGGCCCTAAATAGGCTTATTATAGTCCTACAGTCCTGCTGCTCAGGTTATGAGCCACACAGGAGCGGCCTGGGTACCTCCACCCCGAGACATCCTGACTTAATGGGTCTGGGTATCAGAGCTCATATAGCTGCCCGAGGGGGCCTCCGGGGGCACTCTGAGGGCCCGTGGAGTCGGAGTAAAGAGCCTCCAGAAGAAACAGGAAAGGTGAGGCTGGAGAGGAAGCACCATCTCCCTCCTGCTTTTCTGGAGACCAGGCCATTGGAGGAGGCGCCCACATCCTTCTGATCAATTCGGGGGCTCCAGAGCCACAGGACTTGGTGAGTGGGTATCAAGATAGAATATGCTGTCAATGCCACCTCACCCTGTATGCGCCCTGTCTCGGTTTGACCGCAGAAGGCAATGTGCTGGCTACTTCTTATGGATTTTAGAGACAGGCTGTGAGAAACACAAGTTCCACGCAAGCAGGGGGCCTGACAGCAGAGAGACAGCCCGCCCCGTTACAGGAAGCCTGTTCACCTGTAGCCAGGAATGGGAGGGTCAGATAACCACAGCTTGGTACAGTACACAACCCATTAATACAGTACACAACCCATTAATAATGCTCAAAAATGCCTGAGATCCTTTCAGTGGGAAGGAGGTGTCTGAGAGAAACTAGAGGCGTTGGAAGCTAAAAGAGTTTGAGGATCCTGAAGCTGCACGCCTCCCCTGGAGTAACCCTGTTCAAATGCCTATGTCAAAGTCACCTCTGCTGCCGGAGCCAGGGATCATTTTCCTGGCCTCAGGGGCCAGCCTATTGTTTACTGTCCCTGCCCTAAGGCTAAGAGATTGGGCAGAGCCCCACCGAGGTGGGGCTCAGACTCAAAAAAGTGTGATTCTAAAGTTTTTGCCATTGTTTATTAATAAACAAGCCCCCCCCAATAAAATTGGCATGGGATAAAATACAATTTTAGGCCAGGCATGGTGGTGCACGCCTGTAATTCCAGTACTCAGGAGTCAGAGGCAGGAGGCTCTGCCTGAGTTCAAGGCCAGTCTGGACTACATAGTGAATTCTAGGCTAACCTGAACTGCGTAACAAGACCTTGTCTCAACAAGACCAAAACAAAGCAATTTTAGGAGGAATACACCTGTGTACTCAACCTCTACGGAAAGCCCCAAATCCTAGGGAAGCTGACCAGTAATCTCATCTCTTGCCTGAGCAGAGGCTTGAAAAATGTGTATCCGAGAACACAGTTTATGACAGAGTAGATTATTTCTAGGATTTGTTAATTTTGCAGGATAATGACACTGTGGTTCTGTTTTTTTTAAACTTTATCCTTTTTTTTTTTGGTGGTACCAGGGATTGAACTCACGACCTTGCACTTGCCAAGCAGGCGCTTATGCCACTGAGCTACATCCCCAGCCCCTGTGGCTCTGTTTTTGACCCTTACCTGATAAAGGTGCACACTGACAGGATGGCTGGATTTGCTTTAAAAGATTCTAGGAGGAGCCGGGGATGTAGCTCAGCGGCACAGGTACCTGCCTGGCAAGCGCAAGGTCCTGAGTTCGATTCCTGGTACCAAAAAAACAAAAAACCAAAACAAAATAAAACACGCTAGGAACACTCTAGGAACAAAATAAAATACTCTTTGCCCAAGTTCATGGGCAAAGAGAGCTGTAAAGTAAACTGGTAAATGCCCTGGGAGTAGGGGTTCACTTATCCCTTCTATTTGTATGATTGCTAATGAAAGAAAAATTAAAAACGTACTTTAAAAAATACCTCTAAGGGTTTTTGGTTGTATGATGCAACACACCACCTAACTAGGAGAATAGGGATGAGGGATGCGCTAGAAACTTGCTGTGCAGAGCCCAGTTCTCAGCCCTCAGCCCTTTGTCCAGACCTAGGGACTCCGGCAAGACCACCAGGTCATTCGTGCATACCCTGACATTTGAGAATCACTGATACAGGCTAGTGAGGGCTCTGTGAGGCTTCCTCTTGGTAAAATGAGAATTTCCATTGAGCTTGTCTTGTTTTGCCCGTCATCTGTCTGTTAGGTGTATTGACTGGTGCACTGAATAATTTTGTTAGAGTTGACAGTTGATGAGAAGCTACAACTAAACCTAATGTCCACGAAAATTGTTTGTTTTTGGTACCGGGAATTAAACTCAGGACCTTGTGCTTGCCAGGCAGGTGTTGTGCCTCTGAACTATCTCCCTGGCCCTCGGGCCCAAAGTACTGCTTTCCAACTTTGTTTCCTCACCATAATATTATATTTGGTTCCACTTATGAGAATATGGAAAATGGTTTTATCCCGGCCTCGGCCTTCCTTGTGAAAACAGCTGAAAATTGTTGGGTATAGTATAAAAATTTCTTCAAGGCATCAAAGGGCTGCCATGGTACTATGACAGTCCCAAGTCAAAGCCAAAGAAGCACTGGGATGCATGCTCCTCCCTCAGCCACACAGTGCCCCAGGTCCCCCCAAAGTCAAGGGGGCACTGATGGGTACGGCTGGTGACTGGTCACCTACAAAGGGACTGAACAGGTGTTCCCTGACAGAGAATAGGTTTCAAAAATGGAAAGAGGTAAGGCTAGAATAAATAAATCCAGGAGGGTGGGATTAGAACCGGGGGATGAACTTGTTGGTTTCTTAATATACGAGAGTAAGTATCAAAACAGATGCTGATATATGTGTATATATGCGCAGGGGAGACACACATGCCCTGGGCTCTGTCCCTAGGAAGTCTTAGGAGCAAGGACACCCAAGCACCAATTGGCATGGCTAAAGTCCATAGATTGATTTTTTTTTTTTTTTTTGAGACAAGGTCTTGCTATGTAGTCCAGGCTGGCTTCAAATTTGCACTGATCCTCCTGCCTCAGCCTCCCAAATGCTGAGATTACAGAACTGTGCCACCACACCCACTCATATCTTGATTTCTCAATATCATTCTCTGCGACAAGGTACCAGGGCTCCATGGAGAAGTGGCTGATTCTAGGGTGTTATGCTTTGGATTGAAATATCCCCCCAAAGACTTGTGTGTTCAGAGTGAGGCTTTTGTAAGTCAATTAGATTGTGGGGCGCTAACCTCATCAATGGATGGATCCACTGATGTGCTCAGAGCTCGGGTGCTGTCGGGAGGTGGGAACCAGTTGGAGAAGGTGGGTCCCGGGGAGCCCTTGAAGAGTATATCTTTCCTTTGCCTCTCTCCCTTGCTTTCTCTGCTTCCAGCCACCAAGGTGAGCAGCTTTCTTCAGCTATACCCTTCCCCTGAGGGAAGCCAGCGGACTATGGACTAAACCTCTAAAATTGTGAGCCAAAACAAATCCTTCATCCTGTAAATTGTATATGTCAGGTATTGTGTTCCAACAAAAGTAAGCTAAAACACAACATCCTAAAACATAACGTTAGGGAAAGTACAAAACTTTTAGTGTCTTGGTGTTCCAGAAAGTAAGAAATGCCTTGAGGAGCAATGGAGACATGTACAGACACAAAGGCAGATTAAATGTGCTCCCTCTGGCCTTTTCTGTGACCAGCTGAGCATTAAAATAAACAGTGAAGCTGGAGGTGGTGGCTCATGCTTATAATCCTAGCACTCAGGAGGTTGAGGCAGGAGGATTGCTGGAAGTTCAAGGCTAGCCTGGGCTATGTAGTGAGTTCAAGGCCAGCCTAGGCTATGTAGTGAGTTCAAGGCCAGCCTGGAATACACAGCAAGAACCTGTCTCAAAAAAAAAACAAACCCCAAACCCAAACAAATAATAAACATACAAAATGGTATTTCAGGTGAGCAATGTCAGTAAGATAGCCAAAAGAACTGCCTGTTGCTTGCCCTCATCTATAAAAACAGAACATGGCAAAGAATAAACAACATATTCCAACTGGAGTGGCTGAGAATGTAAACTGACAGGTAATAGACAAGTGGCAGTGTCCTTGTGGGATGCATGGACACTCTTTTTCCTCTCTTCACTTTCAGTCTACTTGTGTTTTTACTGGTGAGTTTCCTGATGACAACATATATTGGGCCTTGTTTTACTTTATCTTTTATTTTTTTGTCTTTTTGAGACAGGGTCTCAATATGCAGTTCAGGCTGACCTTGAGCTCACTTTGTAGCCCAGGCTGGCCTCGAACTCGCAATGATCCTCCTGTCTCAGCCTCCCAAGTGCTGGGATTACAGGACCCCGGCTCCTTATTTTATTTTTAAATCTACTCACTCAGTTGTATCTTTTTAAAAAGTCTGTATCTTTTAACTACAGAACTCATATATTTACATTCATTATTTATGCACAATAACCTACTCTTTCAATTTTGTTAGCTGTTTTTTGCCTCTTCCTCTTAATCTTGGTTTGACAATTTTGTGGCAATAAGGATTGATTCCTTCCTCTTGCTCATCTGTGTATCTCTTCTATCAGCTGAATTTTATACTTTCTTGTCTTCATGATGGTGGTTATTATCCTTTTACTTCTACATGTAGGACTCCCTTAAGTGAGGCAATAAACTAGACAAGGTCACAATACAACAAAGAACTTTTTTAAAAGAAGAGAAAGGACATAAAAATATGTTATGTACATGTACCAACTCCCCAAGATGAATGTAATCATTATGTTCTGTAAATGTGTATTAATAAAAATAAAAATTAAAAAAATTTTAAAATATGGCCAGGCGTGGTGGTGCACACCTGTAATCCCAGCACTTGGGAGGCTGAGGCAGAAGGATCATTGTGAGTTCAAGACCAGCCTGGGCTACAAAGTGAGCTCAAGGCCAGCTTGAGCGGCATAGCGAGACCCTGGCTCAAAAAGACAAAAACCAAACCAAACCAAACAAACAAACAAAATATATATATATATAGCTCAGTGGCACAGCACCTGCCTGGCAAGCACAAGGTCCTGAGTTTGATTCCCAGTACCAAAAAAAAAAAAAAAAAAAAAAAAGAAGAAGAAAAAAGAAAATTACATGCTAGTATCCCTGATAATCATAAGTGGAAAAAATCATCAGTGAAATACTCAAAGATCAAACCCAACAGCGTATCAGAAAGGTCATACACCATGACCAAGTAGGAGTTACTTCCTGTGTGGGAAGATAGTTCAACATATGTAACTCAGTAAATGTGATACATCTGCAGAACAAAGGACAAAACCATCTCAGTAGATGTAGGAAATGCATTTTACAAATGCCAATATCACTTCATGATAAAAACAAACTTTGGTGCATGCCTGTAATCCCAGCACTCAGGGGGCTGAGGCAGGAGGATTGTGAGTTTGAGACCAGCCTGGGCTACAAAGGGAGCTCAAGGCCAGCCTGAACTGCATAGCAAGACCCTGTCTCAAAAAGACAAAAATAAAATAAAAGAACAACAAAAACAAACCCCTAAATATATAGCTAACATGCTGCTACACAATTGAGGCCACATATGACAAGCCCTCAGCTAATGTCATACTGAATGTGGGAAACTTGAAAGTGTTTCCTCTAAGGTTGGGAACAAGACAACAATGCCCACTTTCACTACTTGTGGTCAGCGTAGTCCTGGAAGTCTGAACCAGAGCAACCAGGCAGGTTAAAAAAGGATGCCCACACTGCAAAGGACGAAGTCAAATCATCCCTGTTTGCACATGACATGATTTGCTTTTTGTGTTTTGTTTTGTTTTGAACACTGGGGATTGAACTCAGGACCTCACACCAGCTAGGCAAGTACTCCACCATTAAACTGTATCTCCATCCTTTTTTTTGGTACCAGGAATCAAGTTCAGGAGTTTGCACTTCCCAGGCAGGTGCCTGTGCCACTGAGCTATATCCCTGGCCCATTCTATCCCTTTTTATTTTATTTTGAGACACAGTCTCATTAAGTTTCCCATGCTGGCCTTGAGTTCACAATCCTCCGCCTCAAACCCCCAAATAGCTGGGATAACAGGCATGCACCACCATAGCTGGCATGACATGTGTGTGTGTGTGTGTGTGTGTGTGTGTGTGTGTGTGTATATATGTATATTTCCAGCAAAAACAAAAAACTGTTAAAACTGATAAATAGGGCTGGGGATATAGCTCAGCAGCCTGGCAAGTGCAAGGGCCTGAGTTCAATTTAATTTTTTAAAAACATTTAAATAAAAAAGATAACTAAATTCAGTAATGTATAGGGTACAAGATCAACATACGACCAAGGTGGTGGCACATGCTTGTAACTGCAGCAGCTGAGAGGCTGAGGTAGGCACCAGTTCAAGTCCAGCCTGGGCAACTTACTGACTTAACAGGACCCTGTCATAAAATTAAAAAAAGAGCTGGGATGCAGCTTAGTGTGAAGGCCTTGGCTTCAGTCCCTGGTACTGAAAAAACAGAAAAAATTAAGCCCAAAGCAACAGAAGGAAGGAAATAATAAAGATTACATATGAAATAGAGGCCAGGAAAAGAGCAGATAAGATCAATATAACTAAATTTAGTTTTAAAATGATTAACAAAATTGACAAATACTTTGCTAGATGGACAAAAAAAAACCCTCTTGGTGGGGGTAACTGGAAATTGAACCCAGGGCCTCATACTGACCTACATATTTTTTTTTAAACTACATATTAACAGCCCTTTTTATTTTTTATTTTGAGGCAAAGTTTCACTAAGTTGCTAAATTGTCCATGTGAGGCTCAAACATTTGATCCTCCTGCTTCAGCCTCCCTTCAGCCTCATATCACATCTGGCTTTGTAATACTTTTTCTGTATAGCCAGTAGTAATGCGCCCACTTTCATTTCTGAGTTGAGTAGGTCACTCAGTGTTAAAATATATGCCCTGCACATGTGAGCCCCAAGTTCTATCCTCCAGCTCTGCCAAAAAAAATAAAAAATGTTAATTTCCACAAATTTGTGTTTTTTCCAGTTTTCCTTCTTGAGATTGTCTTTTTTTTTTTGGTTTTTCTCCGGTACCGGGAACCGAACTCACGACCTTGTGCTTGCCAGGCAGGCACTTTTTGCCGCTAAGCTAATTCCCCAGCCCGCGAGATTGTCTTTTTAATTTGTATTTATTTTTTTGAGACAGGGTTTCACTGTGTAGTTCAGGTTGGCCTTGAACTCACAGTGATCCTCTTACCTCAGCCTCCTGAGTGCTGGGATTAGAGGCGTGAGCTACCACTCCCAGTTTAATATTCTTTCCTCTTTTTTTCCGTTTCTCTTTGAGACAGGGTCTCACTATGCAATTCAGGCTGACCTTGAGCTCACTTTGTAGCCTACGCTGGTCTTAAACTTGCAAAGATCCTCCTGCCTCAGTGCTGGAATTACAAAGGGGCGCCACCATGCCCAGCACTGAATATGTAAGAATTTTAGGAACATTGATGAGTTGGGAGGTCTGACTTGGAGTGAAAGTATGTTGGGCAGAAATATCCTAGACAAGCATGCAGCCTAAGGAAGTTTGCTAAGGCCGAGGCGTCACATGGGCACTGCACTGTCAGAGAAGCACCATTTCCAGGATTAGACCTGCTTTAGAAGCCCTCATGCTCGGTCCTCAGCCTGGGGTCACCTGGATGGCATGACCTTGAGGCAAATGTGGGAAATTTCAGAGCAAAGTAATTTGGGTTCTTTGTAAGTTAGGGTCCCTGTAGTTGAAACCACCTTAATGTAACCCCTAGTTTACAAGTTAAACAGCTGTTCCCTCTGTTCACCCTGATAATATTCCTGTAATAGTAACAGCCAGTGTTTATTGAGCATTAACACAAGTCAGGTATTAACGTCTCACTTAATGCTTGAAACTTTAGCAAGTTCTCTCCCAGAAACTGGTAATTCTTTTCCTGTAACAGTAAGTCCACAGGTAACTTATTTCCAGTACAGGGGATGAACACTATTAGGACTCGACCTGTGCCCCTGCATTTCTGGCCTTCCCCTGATCCTTACGGGGTGTCCGGAGTAGCCCCACACTCCTAAGAGTGAGCTGTGGATGGTGCATGAAAAAGAGCATTATTCCTTGTCACTGCTGTCACTGTCATCCTCTTCTCTTCTTTAAAAAATTCAGGTGAAAAAATCCTTTCCAGAAACCTAGCAGACTTCCTGTGTCTCCTAGAACTGGGTCATGTGGCCGATGTGTACCTGCAAAGGAGAAAGTGGATTACGAGTGGCTTCTTGGTTTCCAACCCAGTCCACTACATGGCCCTTCTAGCCTCAGTGTACTTGTATGGGAAGTGGTGCTCTTAGCTCCCTTTACAAATGAGGCTAGGGAGGCTCTGGAAATTTCATCCTCAGGGCTGGAACTCAAGTTTTCTGACTTCAAGCTTTTCCCCTTGGTATCTCAAAATGCTTTATGAAAATTAAATTCTATGCACACAGTAAAATGAGTTGTGGTGTAACTGTAAAGCTTCCACATCGATTAGCTTCTTTTCCTTCCTCTTACAAACATGTCTGCCAACCCTAAAAAAACTTTTACCTAGGACAGTTAAAGAAAAAGGACAGTTAAAGAAAAAGCGCTGAGCACTGAGAGGGGCTGAGGCAGAAGAACTGCGAGTTTGAGTCCCACCTGGGTAATTTAGCGAGACCTAGTCTCAAAAAGGTCTGATATAGGGGTCTGGGGATTTAGCTCAGCGATACAGTGCCTACCTGGCAAGTGTGAAGTTCTGAGTTCGATCCCCCATACCGGGGGGAAAAAACCCAAAAAACCAAAAACCAAAAACCAGGTCCGATATAGAATAGCCCTGGTTTTGACCCTCATTACAGGAATGTGTGGAGGACCCTGGTTAGCTGGGCAGTGACACACACCTGTGAGCCTAGCTACTCGGGAGGCTGAAGCAGGACCGTGAAGCTAACCTGGGCAACTTCTGACTCCTAAGTAAATGGGTAGAGAAGTAACTCACCAGGGCTTGGTTTGTGACGCCTTGGGCTTAATCCCTAGTAAAGGAAAAAAAAAAAAAAAAAAAGCAGACCCAATTACTTTTGTTCCAGTATCATTGATAACCAGTTTTTTATTCTCAAGAAAATTCTATTTGGTGAATGTGTAAATTAAATGGTGCAGTGGACTGAATTGTAGCACTCTCCCCTGTGATGGTATTAGGAATTGTCTTTGAGAAGGTGTTAGCTGTTACTGTAAGTTACTGTGAGAGTACTGTAACAGATGACAATTTATAAGAGGACAGGTTTGTTTTCACTCATGGTTTCCTGTTACTGGCCACGGTCAGTGATTCTTAGAGACAGGGTACCTCAGCATGGAATGCACAGCGCAACAGACCGCTTGCTCAGCCTAGACAGGAGAAGGGAGGGACCAGAGGCCTACAGTCCCCTCCATGAGTGCACCCTCAATGACCCGAGACCTCCCACCAGGCCCCACCTCGTACAGGTTCCACCACCTCCCAGGGGGCCACGGCTGGAGGCTGGGGCTTTATTGAACACTTAGGCCTCTGAGGCATTACAAATCCTAACTATAGCAGCAAGTATAGGTTTACATGACCTTGTGAGGGACTGGTGCCCTTCTAAGAGACATCAAAGACCTCTCTCCCCCACGTTGTTGCCCGTGATTTTTTTGGACAACGCATTTTTAATGAAGTAATGCAGTAACTGATTATTCTGCAACGTGGGCCAAAGAATCCCTTAACATTAAGAACAACCAGATAAGGCTTAAGCTACAAGGTGTAGAGACCACAAAAATCACAACCCCACCATCTGAGCAGCTTTCCCAGAGCCATTAGTGTTCTCTACCAAAGCAGCTCAGCCCGTCATCAGGGAGCACACCTGACTCTACAGCAAGCGCTGGCCACTGGCAGCTGAAATAATTCTACTACAATGACAGCTAAGTGGAACAGGAATCTAAACCCAGACAGTCTATGCCTGAGAACATCCCTTTGCTTTACATCGCTTCCCAGCAAAAGAATGTTTCACAAAGTTTATACTACAGCCGGGCGTGGTGGTGCACGCCTGAATCCCAGCACTCGGGAGGCTGAGGCAGGATCATTGCAAGTTCGAGACCAGCCTGGGCTACAATGTGAGCTCAAGGCTGGCCTGAACTGCACAGCAAGACCCTGTATAGTATGAACAAAATTTGTATTATATTACCATTCTATAAAGCATTCCAGACAGATGAGCTCATCCTTAAATGAAAAACAGGCAATTTATCAAGTACATTATTTTCCAATTTTCACTGTGAACACACACACACACACACACACACACTACAGATTTTAAGGAAATGTTTCTTGATGGGATTCTGTATTACCCCTCTGCAGACTGATTTAAGCAAAGGGTACTATGAACACTGAAAGACTTGCTAAAATGAAACCATACAGATATACACAAAGACAATTATTTAAGACCTTTATTAACAGGTGCTTGCAGTTTGTTGACTTTTTTGAAAAAATCAAGTTGTAAACTTTTATTACAAATTAAAAATGAAGTTCTTAAAAATCTCAACTTGACCAGATATGAAACAATTTAAAAACCTTTAAAGGTGTATTGAGAAAAACCAGGCTTTTT